CTGGTGTGTGGAAGGTTCTGCTTAGGAAGAAACTGCAGTGGAAGTAATGTGTTTTACCTTTATGACATCAGAAACAAAGTTGTTAGCATTAGCAAGGATAGCTAATTAAAAGAACAGTGAAAAAACTCCAAACTTTGATCGTAGGCTTTTCCTACATTCTGTCTCTACTTTGCAGTCGGAATTTCTTAGTTTGCATTTCTCTCTTTCCTGTTCCTTTCCCTGTTAACCCTCCCCACCTGTACCCTGGTAGGTCTATATTCAAGCCTTTTATCTTCTCGGACTGTTCTACTCCAGTGCTGAGGGTGGTCTCCCCACAGTTTGGCCCAGATGACCCTGTCAGGCAGCAGCCTCGCTTTCAGAGCCAGGTGGACCGCAGACACGACCTCTACAAGGCTCACCAGGTGGCGCTCAACACCATGGAGACCAACCCGGTGGGCATTACTGAGAAGCTGAACTTGTTCGGTTTTTGTTCATAAATCACAGGAAAGTCACACAGCACAGGACTGACACTTCCAGTGGTGGACAGGACCTCACAGTTAGTGCGGACAAGACACATGGCACGAGTGTAGACTAAACATAAACACACAAGTACACAGTCAGAGCCAAAAAGCAGGGTTTCCGTCATGACTACACTGCAACCAGACACCAAGCTGAGAATGCTGGCTTGTAAAACAAAGTGACATTTAACATTTAAGCTGCCAGTTTAAATCCTGTTTGAGATGACTTGTACTTTTTTATTAGATCAGTGTCAGTTATTATTTTCTCAAAGGTTTTAATCTGAATTTAGCTACAGTATTACATAATAACTCAGGTAGTGTAAGGTGAATTGACAGTTACTGGAAGGCCAGTAGGTACAGATACATAAGAGTCGAGTGTTGTAACTTGTTCGCTGCAACCCAATTCCTTACTTTACATCAGTGCCAATCAGGTTTCAGTATGTTGCACTTTCTGACCACTTGAAGGCAATAGAAACAAGCTGTGAACACAACATTGACATATCATCATGTTTAAGTTGATATGGTGAATTTGTTAGCAAATAGTTACATATTAACACATCCAGTAGATATGGAGCAACATAATCATTCATTTGGAATCATGTTTGTTTTCACCTGATTAATGGAAGTCAAGTATTCACTCTCTTTTAGCTCTGTTCTTGCTCCCTACCAACTTCTGAAGAAAACATCTATTTTTAGCTGCTGAATGCTCATGTGTTCACCAGCTAGTCACCAACTGTGTCTGTCTGCTGTTTGGTGTTGAGCAGTGTACAGTAGGATTTTAGAGCAGCGCAGTTGCAGGCTGAATAATGAACTGAAGCATGCCAATATAATGTCAATAAAAACAATAAAGAAATAATGGTAAAATATACAGTAGCACAAGAAAGGTGTAATTAAGTCAACAACTTTAGTAACTAATGTCAGGTAAGTTGCACTTACAAGAAGTAATATCCATCTAAAGTTTGCTAACATTAGCTAACATTAGCTAACATTAGCTGTAAGGTAGGCCCACTACAATGTGTGTATGTATTTCTTCTTTTTTAAGACGCATAGTTTTGCTTTAAAATAAATCCAGGTGATAAAGTAAACTATGATAAATAAAATTAATTCTTGACTTTGGAAAGTTGGTTTAACAAAACAAATCAAAGTTCACTTATTTTGGAGTTTTCTTCCATATCACATATATTTTGCTTCCTTTTTGTGAAGTCGGCAGTGGCTTTTCAGAGTTGCAGTTTGGTTATATATTTTGATGCATTTATTTTTCATAATTTCTTGTTTTTACAAAATGGTTAATTGTATTGGATATTTTGTAAACTAGCTGTGAAAATACTCTGTGATTTAGTATATAGTTCATACTGTATTCTATGTATAATTGAATTTGGGGCAAAACTATTGGCTGCTGTTTTGGTGAGCAGCCAGACAGTTTAAAACCCAGATTAGCTTGTAGAGGAAATGGGGGTGTGTGATAGCAGGTGTGTAATTGCTGTTATTAAGTCTACGTCCTCCACTACAGACGTCTGGTTGAATTAGACTTAGGATTCTCAAAAGGCCAAGAATGGGAACTAGGTTCTTTTAAATGTACATGATGTTACATACAGGGACATTGCCATAACATGGTTTAATCTTGGTCTTTTTCTCTCTGTCTCAGGATGAGGGCTTGGCTGTCTATGAGATTCTGAGGGACCTGGAGTCGCAGTGTCTGAGTGAGATTTCAGCCATGCTGAGTGGAGAGATACCAGGAGACGAACTGGGGGACTTGTTTTTTGATTGCGTGGATACAGAGATTAAGTTCTACCAGTGAGGAGGTAGGAAGCTTCAAGTGTTGGATTTGGTGTAGTATAAGTGCATGAATGTTAACTGTGAGATTGTTAAATTTCCTGTTGTTAAAGAAAACGCTGGAGCCGAGAAACTCGAACACCGAAGAGATCAATCAGAGTCATCACTATTGGATGACAATTAGATAAAGTCTGAGCTGGTTAAAGAAAGAAATCTGAAAATAGACAATTCATCTTCACAGCATGCAGGTGTATTTTTGGTATAACAAGCAGTTAGGAGGTGAGATCAGTAATAAGAACTTGTAAATTGTGTGTTTCAGCTGCTCCAGCGCTTGTGCCTTATCTCATTATTCACATGCTGATAGAGAAATATTTCTGTGTGGGAGTGTGATCGTGACGGTTTCCAGCAAAGCTAAATAAGCCTAACGTGCTGTGTGAACCTGTCCTCTCTTACAGTGCCCTCAGGTGGACATCCCTAGTGCTCGCAGAGTGGCAGGAGAAGGCCGTGGGACTGTTACAACCTCTGTGTTCCTTGTCTGATTGGCCTCCGCCTCACTCACACAACACACATGCCTGACACCATTCCATCAGTAACACAGACTAAATGTCTAAACTGCACATGTGATTGGAGCATATTTATCATCTGTATCACCCAGGGAGCAATGACTGCACCTCATTAGTGAGCATAATGATGTAGACTACACAGGCACCCATGTAGAGCTGTGTGATGTTGCACAAATACTGTAAGTATGGCATTTGTTTAACATTTTGATTGTTGCTGCAAATGAATGGGTTGTCATTTGTTTGATGGCTTCCTGTAGGGAGAGATCTAATAAAGAATGTGCATAGTCTGTGCTGAGTGTGTTCTGAGCTTTCTGACCACCATAGTGGTGTGGATGTATGTACTGGTGCATCCACATTAAGCTGGTGGAATTCATCTTTTTCTCACTGTCCTTTGTCCAGACTAAAACAGCATTCTCTTCCCTGACCAAAATGGAAATTTTCCAAAATGGCCTCCAGAGTGTGTAGATCTCAGAACGCCAGCTTGTGTGTGCACAGGTTAAACAGAGTTTTTACTAAACTATGATTTAAGCCTGCCCCACTTAGGGTTAGGTTTATCTGTGATTACTCATGTGGGATATCAATATAGTCCAATACACTGCAGATATTGTTGTAATTAGTGTAATAATAATAATAATAATAATAATCGTTAAAAGCTTTATTTGTATAGCACCTTTCAAAAGACAGTTACAAATTACTTAACAAGAGGCAAGGCAAGGTAAGTTTATTTATATAAAATATAACATTAAGATGACATTACAGATTTAAAATATTTAATAAGTCAAATCAAGATTGCATAAAATCAGAAGAAACTTAGGACACCATTTTTAAAAAGTATTTATTTAAAAAATAAATGATAAAATAAAGAGATGAAAAACATTTTAAAGTTCTACAAAATTGAGGAGGAGAATGTGGTAAAGTAATAATGAGATGGAACATTCTAAAATGATCAAAATAATCAATACAATTAGAATCAGGAGAATGACTTAATATAATAATAGATTTAAGAAGTTAGAAGTCAATTCAGACCTCAAACCCTAAGAAAACACACCTTCAAAAATGTGACAGTTTACTCTTGTGTCTGTTTTGTGATTAGAAAGCAACAAAGTGCACAAAGTATATTATTTATATAACATAAAATACTGTTACATTATTTATATACAGAGGTGTTTGGTGGTCTCAAATATTATGATCTTGGATTTTTGTCAGCATTGCACAGGCTTAGAATTAACTATTCAACTCACCTATTTTCATCATCCCGGTTTCTTCCTTGGATAAGAACAGAAAAAAGGCTTGCTGACTCAGAAATTTAGAATACATTATTTATTTATTATACTAAAATAAAGCTCACAAGCGCATTGTTTCTTTAGATAAAGACTCACTAGACAAAGAGGGAAGCACACCAAAAAAGCATTATACTGTAGTTTTACTGGTCTGTGATAAAAAACAAAAAAACAAAACGATAATGATTACACCCACTACAACTTATTAATACCACAATATTTAGAAAAATGAGTTGAGCTGCTGGTCTGAAGGTGATACTTCCTGTTTGTTGAATGTTAGGACAGTTGAGAGAAAATGTACCCCCAACAGAGCAGACCCTATTTCAAAGCAGAGGATGCGACTTGTCATAGTAGGAAAATAACAGTGTTACAAATAACAATGAATAATGAATGATGGCTCAGTTCTTTTCACGCGTGGCAGTAAAGCCATGACAGTGTGGCAATGAGCCAGCATGCAGAATACCAGGACTTAGTAAAAATGCTAAATGTAATTATAACAAATAATTGTTATATAATTATTTACACCTGTGCTATTTCCAGTCTGACATGTCAAAAAGTCTGTAAAAAAATATTACAAATTATTTGCAGTCACAGTTTGAACACAGCAAGAATAACTTGAAGAATGATAATGTAAAGACATTTCATAAGATATATAACAGCAGTGTTGGTGTATGGGGACATTTGTTTCTGGCTCTGGCATTCAGAATGAACTCATTTGGACAGAATATTTAAAACAATGCAGTTAAGTTAGGTCACAGAGTTTCCACTTCTGTTTTATTATGTATATATAATAAAAGGGGGACATAGGAACATAGGATTAGGTTGTTCACACTCCATCCAGGAGGGGCAGTAGTTTAAACACCTTGTTGTTGACGGGAAGAGCTGGAAAAGCAAGGTGGTGAGGTGCACCGTCGTCTGCAAGTGAAAATTCGATTACAAATGTTAGCTAACTGCTTGGCAGTTTGTTGCTGTTATGATTTATACAAATTGGCAAACATAGGTTCCCTGGCACCCCCTTTAAAGAAAGTGGAGTCGTCCAACGGAAAAGGTATTGTAACCGTTAGGTTGATACTCAAACGTTTGTTTGCTAGCCCGCTAGGATAACCTAAAACTGCTCCCTATAATTATCTGAACACCAGGCCGAAGAGGCGAACTTAGCACAAATGTGTCACCACTACCTGGAAATAATCGAAAAACACTTGTAGGTGATAAGAAAGTGTGAGTTTTGTGTTTTTCGTACTAGGTAAAGCTAACTGTCTAGATATTCTCTGCTTCTTTGCGACTGACCTACTAGCAAACAGCTAGTGTAGCTAACCGGCTAATGTTAACAATAGTTAGGTCAAATGACACTGAAGCCATAACTGAACCTTACATAAAGCTCGGTGCTAACTCGTTTTCACTCTGTACAAACACTGTGCTGTAGGTGCGTTTATTGAAAAAGCTCCGGTCGAGGCAGAGTTTCTGTAATCTGGACTGAAAACCTGAACCTATACTGATAACCTATACCGTGGTCTGTTATTATTGATAGCATTAATTTTTTATGATGCATTTAGACTAAACAAGAAAACGAATACTATAGTTCATGTGAGGCAAGTGATTGTTTACCATGTTTTAATGTCATAAGTTTAAAGCTCATTGTCTTTTTTGTTTCAGTCTTTGACATTTACTCAGCTACTGGAGTTGCTGTGAGATGATGCACTCAAACAGGTCTGAGCACAGTCACAGGCGGCAGTACAGTGACAGAAGTTCAAGGCAGTGGGGTGACTATGATGACAGACGGGAAGAAAGGCACGAACCTCACAGAGATGTACAGTGGGATTCCTATCATAAATATGGTGGGGATGGACACAGCAGCACAGAGAGAACAAACAGAAGTAGAGAGTACAGTGACTCACCTAAGAGGCGATACAGTAAAGATTCAGTGAGCAGAGACTGGAGCAGAAAGAGCCCAGTGAGAAGACATGTGTCTTCACCTGATTGGAGTGGTGCTGAAAAGAAAAGGCAAAGGTTTACAGATGATGATGAGGATGATTACAGATACAGGCGTGAGCCTGAGGATAAAACGTACAGGCAGTCACCAGACAGTTTTTCACATTTACATGTACCCAAGGATTTTAAACATACACTACCACAGGAAGAGGATTTCAAATTCAGTAAAACATCTCAAGACTCCAGACACAGGCATAGGCCTGAGGAGTTCACCTACAGGCAACAACATGATGACTACAGACTAATGTCTGGATATTACAAAGATAGTCATCGTCACGAAAGGAGCTGGGACCATTCAGAAGAGAGGACTCGATCACAAGAGCGCACTTCAAAGGTGAGGCTCAATAAACACCATGTGAGCCTGTTAGCATTGTGACGGCAAAGTTTTGTGTTTAAAAATCCTTAAGTAGTTGGTCCTATTGTTTTTGTTTTAATGAAACATTCCTCTATATTGAACAGAGTTGTGGCAAACCAAGAGAGAGGGATGACAGCCCTTCCACAGATCATGAGGATCATCGTCAGAATAGGACAAGGTTTCCATTGACTGAATCTAGTGGACAGGTGGGTTTGTTTCACAGGTGGACATTTTCAGATGGTCAAGCTTGTTCATCTTCTACTAAAAGTCTGTTTCTTGGTAATACATTCAGAATTTCTCCATGTTAAACATGTGTCCCATAAACCAAAACCCCAAACTTTTTTTAACCTTAAAGGTGTTCTTGTTGTTTGAAAAGGAATCAGATGTGTGGTTGATTCTGGAGATAAATTCAGGCTAAATTCTGACCACACCATTGCACATAATATACAAACAAATAACATGACATCAAATGAGACACCATAAAAAATTCTCTAGGTGACCACCAACTGTGACAGAGGTTGTGTTTTCTTAATGGAGTGCTAGTCAGCTATCCAACATATCTACAATGCTTCCGATTTCACTGTAACTGTAAGCAGGGCTACAAGTTATAGACCGTAAGCATTGAGTTAAAAATGTCACAATAGCAAGGAGGAGGACTTTTCTTTTCCCACACAGGCTGCATGACTGATGGAACTTATTTTACCATACATATTTCATGAGCATGAGGGACATTTGCCCTAGCTCTTACAGTGAATCCACTGATACTTTTCTGCATCAGTTTAATATGATGCTTTTAAATTTTAAATTATGCCTGTTTTATAATATCTGACAATACAAGCACTGAATGACAGGATGTTAAATTGGACCCTCATTTAATTCCTACTAACTCTCAAGCTGTATGTAAAGCTTTTTGGATATGAATTTATTTATGCATTTGGCATGGATGACCATCACATTATTGCTGTGGTTGCACAGGGTTTTTTCTTTTAACCTCTTTTGTCTCACCTGTACAGTGAGGGGAAAAACATTGACAACTGATTTGATCTAAGTGGATTGATCTCCTCAACAACTTAAAATTGACTCATTGAAACTGTTTGCTAACTAATTTTGTGCATAAGAGATGATGATTGACAGATCAGACAGTGATCCTAGAGGTTTCTACAAGACGCACATCTCTCTCTCTCTCTCTCTCTCTCTCTCTCTCTCTCTCTGGATGTTTAACATTGTGCTTCTGCAGCCTTTATGTTAATCTGATGGCATTCAGTTCAGACTTGGGCTGATTGTGTTGAATGTGGTATGGATGTCTTTCCAGGTCTGAGCTTGTGAGTGCCGCCATGATTTCGATGTAAAAATGACCGGGGTTTTTATTCAGACATGAGACTGACCATGCCACTGATTAACATAAAAGGGTTTCATGTCTGAGCTGAAGGGCTGACGAGAGGGCCCTATTTCCCTAATGTGGTCTATCTGGTTTCAGGTAGACCGCAGATATTAGCTTCATAAACTATGGTTTCTTCTATGTTTCCCATCAGTCTTTTGGGAGTGATGTCACCAACCAAAGTCCTTCTGTTCCTGAGCAGAAGTCAACCAGGGGTTTCCAGCGTTTCCTTGATGTACTCAACAAAGGTGTGAATGTCGCCATGCTCACCAAGATAGTGACTCAGACATCTCCAGAAATCTGTGATCAACCAAGTTCTCCAGGTTCTTTCATGAACACTGCAGATCGCCGGTGGTCTCCCAGTTCTGCTGACAAGCAACAAGGAAGCCACCAAAATAACCACCACTGGAATGAGAGCGAAGGATCCCAGAGCCTGGCTTCTCCACAGCCTCATCATAGGTCCTTCAGCCCACAGGGCTACTCTCCATCTGATGAAAAGTCTCTGCAAAGGAGTGATGGAGGACAAAACTACTACAGCTTGAACAGTAGATCCAGGTCTCCATCAGTGGTGGGAAAGATAACCCTGACACCTGAAGATGAGCACAAGCACAGGCAGATGCAAGATGTTCTGCAGGCCATCGGCATGGATTTGGGATCTGAGGAACTTGGCCAAATGACGCATCGAATCCAGGAGCGGTTATATGGAAAGAAGGACAGTGACCGGGGCCGCCATCGTAGAGGAAGTAGGGAAAGGGACTCGAGGCAAGCATTTTCTCCGAGACGTCGAAGTAGATCATCATCATCAAGCAGGTCTAATTTCAGCTCTTTGACTCGGGACAATTATATGAGAAAAGACTCATGTAGTGCTCGGAGGGATGAAACTGAGGTAGATGAAGTAAAGGTACATCAGGCTGAGTATGGCCAGAATGGTAGCAGTAGTTCTTTACAGGACAGTGAGAAATGTGAAACTAACTCCCAGGAAAGCTCTGCTGCATTACAGATATTTTCTCAAAATACTACATACAGTTTATCAGAACCACCTCTTACACCTGTGATGCCGACGTACTCTCCAGTGAACTGTTCACCAATGCCATACCCAGCTCTACCTCCAGCTCTGCCTCCCAACTTGCCCCATATTGGACCAAGGCTATTCTTGCCTCGTCTACCTCCCTTCCTCCCTTATCCCCATATCCCACCTCTGAACATCATTCCAGCGGTACTCGCTCAAACAAGACATCTACTCCCACAAAACATTAGTAATCCACAGTCACCCTTTTTTAACCTGCCAAATCTAAACCCAGTGCAGCCACTGAATACAACACAAAAGTCAAAAACACAGTCAAGGCCCCGATGTTTGCAGGTCATTGAAACCAAACAACCTGGATGATGTTACATCGGATGAAAATCTGACTTTAAAACTGACTGATAGAGTTGAACAATTATCTTTTGCCTAATAGTAGAAAATATTAATAGAGTAAACAGTTGAGCCTTCAGAGTGTCCTGTTTTAACCACAAATCACATATTTGAACATCAAAGAAAACCAACATTGAACATTTGCAAGCAAACTGTCCAGCAGCAGCAAAAAGTAATGCTAAAAAATGATGAAAACAGAACAGACAGTAACAACAGGAGTTAATCAAAGAAACCTTCAGGTGGCGTTGGAGCTGTGTCCATAACCTGGTCTGCCCTTGTTCCCAGAGCACAATGTCATGCTAAAGAAAAACACTGAAAAGTTGTGCAGAAAGTGATTTTGTTGGTTTCTGAGAACCTTGACTCAGTTTTATCATTTCAAATTAGATCAAACAGTATAATTTGATACACTATCATTTTTGTTGAACTTATATTTGTTTGCAATTGTGTCATTGTAGGATTCAGCCTTTATCCTTCTAAAATGCACCATAGCCTGGAGTACAGAATGTGCTTTGCACTTAAGCTTGTCAGCTCAGAAAACTGTTCTGTAAATATCTGAACTGCATAATAAATACAATGATTCTAAGTAAATGGTGTAGAGCTGTTTAATTGCACTGCTAGTTCTTGACTGTTTTATAACAAAACTTTTTTTCTCCAAGAAAAAGCAAAAAGCGGATGGGACTGTCATGTACAAAAATCAAAATGTCATAGTTTATTGTGTCATCCTTGGCAGGCTGTGAAGTACATTCAGATATTGTCATTAACAGTACAGAAGTTCACAACATCAGACTAGACAAATAAGGATGGTGTAAAACAAATTAAATAGTTGATATTCGATCCAAGCAAGTTAATGGCACAACGCATATGTTTACTGTGTATGTATAGTTCATATTTATGCCATCCTTAGAACAGTGGGCCTGGATTCAAATCACTGCTTCATCTTTGCAACTTAAGTGCCCTTGAACAAGACACATAATGTTATCTGACAGCATCTGAATGTACAGAGACAAGAAAAAGTATGTGAACTCTTTGGAAATACCTGGTTTTCAGCATCAATTTTCTGCATTAACTTCATAAAATGTGATTCGATCCTCATCTAAGTCACAATTGTAGACAGACACAATGTTCTCAAGCTATTTAACACACAAATGATTATAATCTTTCATGTCTTTATTGAGGGCGGCACGGTGATGTAGTGGTTAGCGCTGTCACCTCACAGCAAGAAGGTGCCGGGTTCGAGTCCCGGCTCGGACACGGGGTCTTTCTGTGTGGAGTTTGCATGTTCTCCCCGTGCTTGTGTGGGTTCTCTCCGGGTACTCCGGCTTCCTCCCACAGTCCAAAGACATGCAGATGGGGACTAGGCTGATTGGTTACTCCAAATTGACCATAGGTATGAATGTGAGAGTGAATGGTTGTTTGTCTCTGTGTGCCCTGCGATGGACTGGCGACCTGTCCAGGGGTGTACCCCGCCTCTCGCCCGAAAGGATGCTGGGATAGGCTCCAGCCCCCCCGCGACCCTACTAGAGGATAAGCGGTAGAAAATGAATGAATGAATGAATGTCTTTATTGAACATACCCATTAAAAATTCACAGTGCTGGTGAAAAAAGCAAGTGAACCCTTAGATTTAATATCAGGTCAAACCTCCTTTGGCAGCAATAACATCAAACAAGCTCTTTTGGTAGCTGCAGATCAGAACAGCACAATGTTCAGGAGAAATTTCTTCCTTACTGAACTGCTTCAGCTCAGCCATTTCTTTTAGGATGTCTGGTGTGAATGGCTCTCTGGGTCAATCCACAGCTTTTCTGTTGGGTTGTGGTCTGGGCTCTGACTGGGCCACTGCAAAAGGTGGACTGACTTTGTTTGAAGTCATTCTGCTGTAGATTTACATTGATGTTTAGGGTCCTACTGACCTTCAGTCACCCTGACATTATCCTGTAAGAGACCTTGATAAACTTGGGAATTCATTTTACCCTTGTTGATGCTAAACTGTCCAGCCGCATGGTCACCTTTGGGATGATGTTTTCATGTTGGTATGCAGTGCCCTTATTACACCATACATGGTGCTGCATGTTCTTCACACACAATTCAACCATAGTTTCATTAGTCCACAAAACATTTTCCGGCCAGTGTTGTGGAGTGTCAATGTGCTCTTTAGCCAACTTCAGGCATGTATGTGATATTTTATTTTTTGTGGATTTACATGGAATACTTTAATTATGTATTCAGTATGGACAAGACTAATACAAAGATTTGTGTGTGAATAGTAAGTTAAAATTAATTGTGTTTGTTCATTATTGTAGCTCAGATGAAAGATGAAGATCTCACTGTTTGTTGACCAATTTATATATAAATGAAGATAATTCCAAAGGTTTGACTAACTTTTTCTTGCCACTGTATAATGTGCAATAATTAATTAGCATGTACAGTTACAAAATGACAGATACTAGTCAGTTGTTTTTTTTTCTCACTCCCTGACTAATTCATATATAGCTTACATATATGTATTTTTACTTGACAAATGCTGTCATTTCATTTTAGCTGTGCCACCCCTTCAGATAAGATCAGAAAGGTGAATGCAGAGCTCCTGAAAAATATTTAACTCCACCAAGAATTCTTATGGTCCTGCAGTGCACCAGGAGACAGTCTCAGTGTGAGCATTGCTCTTCAAAAGCTAGAAACTGGTGAAGGTGTGATTTTTTTTTCCATAAAGACTCTATTGACCTGTAAGATTTAGTTGACTTTTTAAAAATCTCATCTAATTTGGTTGCAGGCAAACTTGCCCTGTGATTGACTTTATTAAGCAGGACCAGACTTTAAATCTCATTGATGTCAAACAGGTTTATGTGCTAAGCCTCCCGTTGTTTCAGTCGTTTTATTATTCATCATTAAAAAGTGACTGAACTTTCCACATACAAAGGAGAAGGACATGTTTATGTACATCGTTAGGTTTTTGTCAGAGGTGAGTGGAAATGAGAAGTCAACGCCTCTGATCAGGCACTGTCCTCCGTCCAGCAGGCGGCACTGTTAACATCTTGATTTAATACCACCGAGGCATTGACAGCTGTCCTGCCCCCTCTGCTCTTTAGTTCAAGCATTATTGTAAATAAACGTCTGTCCTTGTCTACTACTGAAACTTATCAAATCCTACTTTTAGTGTTTCACTGTCCAGGTACTCCGGTTTCAGAGCAACACTAGCTTAAAATAACATTTTATTTCGCGATGCACGTGAAGAAAGGGTCGTTTGAGCAACCACAGTAGGTAAATAGTCTGTTAGCTGCCAAGCTAAGCTACCTAAACACAGGATTTAGTCAGTTTTACTGTCTGTCCAGTCCACACTTTGCCAAACCATAAATGTTATACCATGTTTTAATGTAATTTAGATTGGCTTACTAAACCCTGGCGTCCTTTCCTCAACAGCAGTCGACTTGTAAACTGTTGTAATTTAATTTCTTGGTAACTGAAAGAAAATTGTTAATAATCTCAAGCTTGGGGACTTGTTCATCTGCAACCTCATTTTGTTTCTGTTAAGTAATAATTTTAATTCTGCGGTCAGTGCAGTAACTACAGGTCTGCATACAAGTCCTTGCTAACCCACATTAACTTCTCCACTCTGTTTCTACTTTACAGAAAGAGTGCAACCTTCACAAACTGTACGAGGCTGAACAATGAATCCACTTGACTGGGAAGATGCTTTTCGAAGATTGCAAAGACATCTGGGTCCAAATAACAGTGGTGCTAATAACAGCATGGAAAATGCTTTAAGAACTAATATTGATTATGACACTTACTGCGAATACTCAAGACACACTGTTGATGAACCACAAAACAGCATGGGAGTGAATTTGGGATGGGAGGAACTCAGTTCCTCCACCCTTAACTTTTATAGTAAGGAGCCAGAAGTGGAGGATCCAGATGGAGAGCCTCTGGAAATAGACGAGGAGGATTCAGAGCTGGCGAGAAAGCGGAAAGAGCTTAGAGAGATAGAAGAGCGAATAATACTTAAGAAAGCTGCCATCGCTTTGAAAACAGTTGAACCTTTGGTGAAGAAGACAACACCACCAGGCCTTTCCTGTCATGAACAGTCAGCTAAATGCAAAGGTGAAACTCTTCGAGACAGAGTGAATCTAATTTTGCAGCAACGACATTCTCTTAACTTTCTCTCAAAGGTGAGTAGTAATAGTCATAGATTGATAATCATTCACCTGTTTTAGATCATCAGCTTAATTTGAGTAAAAAGCCATTTCCACTTTGCATGGCTTTCCAGATAATATGCTATTAACTGTATTTCTTCCTCTCTTTCTGCTCAGGTCCCGTCACCCAAAAAGAGAATGAACTCATCCAGCCTGCTTGAAGAGCATCCCCTGAAACTGAGAGTGAAGGCACTAATGAAGCAGAGATGTTGGGACCTCTGTGTACTACCAACAAACACAGAGGTTTGTTTGTTTTTTTTGTTTTTTTTTTAAATAAACACCATAATGTAATGAAATCACCTATCACCTAGCAATACTATACCAAGGCTTATTGTGTAGTGTAGTATAATACAATAAAATGAGGGCGGATTGAAAGACAATGATATATGTAAATGAAAATAAAAACAAACTAGTTTTAAAAAAAAAAGTAAAATATGAGGGAATAATATAAAAGTGAAGTAAAATAAATAGGTTTTCAGCTATCGTTTGAAAATGTTCACAAAGGTTATTTCATAGTTTTGAAGCATAGTTAAAAAAGAGCTTCACAGCCTATTTTCATGTGTGTAAAATTGTGTGTATTTAAAAGCTTGGCAGTAGAAGATCTGAGAGCTCGTGAAGGATTATAAAACGACAGAGAATCTGCAAAGTAGGCCTGTCCCAAACTATGAAGAGCTTTAAAAACAAGTAAAAGGACTTTAAAATCTATTCTAAAAGACCCTTGGAGCCAGTGGAATGAAGCTAAAACCGGGGTAATATGATCTCTTTTCCTTGTTTTTGTTAAAAGTCCAGCAGCACAGTTCTGAATTAACTGGGGTTGTTCAATTGACTGCTTTGAAAGACCAGTAACTAGAGCATTGCAATAATGTAGTCTATTAGAAATTAAACCATGAATCAGCTTTTCAACATCTTTGTGGGTTAGGAATGGCTGTACTTTGGCAATATTTCTTAAATGATAAAAAGCTGTTTTGGTCGCCTTCTAGTGTAAGATCTACAATACTTGAAATCACAAATTCCTTTAAAAATTATAGGATTTTTTCCTTGGAATTGCCCACCACTACGTAGCGCTAGATCAATAAATCAGCTGCCTGATATATACATGTGAAAACTGGCTTATTACAGATATATTAGTTTCAGTGTTTATGTTTAGTGATAAGTGACAAAAAAAATCAGTATAGAAATACCAGATATGTTTGAGTTGGGTAGTGTCTTACCCTATATATTTTCCTGTGTAGTGTTACTGCACCATGTGTCTTGAGATTGTATTGTGATATGGAAATTTATGTTGTGGCTTCAGTTCTGTCGTAATCCAGAAAACCTGCTTTCAAAGCAGGGCATATGCTTTGGTGTCATGCTTAGATTGCATGTAAATCTTGGTATTTTATCAGTGGTGGCCTTTTTACAAGGTTCTGGTGAAGGGTCCTGAGGATGATTTGGGCAAAAAGTAGGCGGACAGTGTGATGGAAATCTTGTTACTGCTGGAAAATGTTTCAGGAGACAGATACATGCAGGAGAAAAGAGATTAGCAATACAAGTTAACATTGTAATGCCACCCAGTTCTGAAGGTTGTCCCCCTTGCAGGGTGTATTTAAACTCAGACTAAACTCATGTAACACTTACTAACAAATAAGGATATTCTTCATGGACCACAACACCTATTCATGCATGTGTGACGCTTGCATTGGTACCAAATCTGAAACAATGAATTACATTCACCTAAGTCATGATGCATAAGAAATCTCAAGGGAAGACTGTCTGTCCCTGAGCTGAAGGTCTCCTGTGTTACAACTATTCCCTCCCAATACTGGAGTCTCGGCACTTGATATCTTTATGACCTTGTTTGTTATACCTGCTCCCATTGGGAGTTGGGCCAGCTGGATTCTACAGCCATTCTACTAACAGACATTGAACTTTTGCTTTTTAGGACTTGTTTGTATGTGACCTGTGGAAACACTGGCCAATACAACCTGAAGACCTAAAGAAGGAATGATTCCTTCACAGTGAGACAAGGTTGTACAGTTATTGTTGCTCAACTTGTTTCTGGGGCTGCAGAAAAGTCATATTGCAATTATAATGAACAGTTTTGCAATTTGAGATATAATAAACAAATGGTTTTGCGAGTGAACTTGCTATCAAGTAGATGCACAGATTACTTATAATTTTCAAATGTTTATTTCTCAACTCAGACATACAAACTATAACAATAAAGGATCATTTTCTGAAATGTGTCCATGCTGACAGTGTACATGGGCACCATGTCTCACAGACACATATTTTTTATTTCATTAACCGCAGCTTTTTACAGTTATATAATTGCTGACATCATGATTGCTCGTGCTGCACTACATGTTTCTTGTGTGTCTGCTGTCTCATTCTGGGTGTTGAGCCTGTCGGTGAATCCTCATTTGCTGTTGTTGTGGAGTAAGACAGTTGCTTTTGACAAAGTCAGCAACAACCTTGGTAATTTTCTATTTGTGGTGTAGAACCCAAAATACTTAGACGAAGCTTCTCAGACACTGATGTGTTGTGATTATCTGATTGGCATAGCTTTGCTCACTAGTGCCCTCCTCCATTTGTATTTCTCTGTTTAGTTTACTGATAGGTAAGTTGGGCATGCAAGGCCAACGTCTTCAGACAATCTGTACACTGTAAATTTTGAATTCAAACAGATCATTATAGTGTGAATAATTCATTTTTTCTCATGTTCAAATGAAAGTTAAAATTCCAAATAAAAAGTGACTGCCTTAATCCCTAAGTTCAGAAAAAACATGAAGAAAAGAAGATGTGGGTGTTAACTGTGTGCCACCGTACTATAAAAGAGAATTCTAAAAGATTATGATCATAGGGCTTACTGTTTAAATAATAAGATATATCTCTCTATATCTGACCCTCCCAGGTCCCTGATGTCACACTGCCTCCTCCCAGCCAAAGCATTACTTCAGCAGCCATTCAGGAGAACGATGACAACAAGGGTTTCCAGCGCTTCCTCAGTGTGCTCAACAAAGGAGTGGATATCGACTTGCTCAGCAGGATTGTCAATGACGACAGTGAGGATCTTGCTTTGGGCGAGGAGCTCCTGGACATTCAGCCCCCTCTTGTGGAGAACAAGTCAGAGCCGGGCGGGAGCCAGCAATCAAACAGTGAAGCCTCCATGCCGGGCCACAGTCGGACCGATGGTGGAGAGAGGAACACTGACCCGCCCAGTCGAGAGAGATCCCAGAATGAGAGACTCTCCCTGCCTGGTGGTGAGGACTTGAATGGCAGAAGAGACAGCTCTTTTGGTTCCAGTATTCGATCAAAGTCTCCCCTGGCAGTGAAGAAGAGAGAGGAAGAACAACCAAAGGTGGATGAGCAGCATGAACACCTGCAGAACATTCTTAAAACTCTGGGATTGAGCCTGGAAGTGGAAGAGATGAGCAGACTAGCAGACCGGACTCAGGAGAGGCTGTATGGAAAGAAACATGAAGGCAGATGTGGGGCTGACAGCAGAGGGGAGCAGGAGAGTCTGCAAAGAGGCTCCCTCAGACATCACTTGGACTCGTCCTCCTCATCCTCCTCTTCCTCCTCCTCAAGGTCGACCTCTAGGAGCTTTAGTCCCAGCCCCTCTCACCATTGCCACTCTCACAGCAGAGACTCAAAACAAAAGCGATCGTCTGAATGCAGAAGCAGAGATGGACTAACATGCCAAGATGGCAACCAGGACAGCAAAGAAGCAATGGAGCCCAGGGACATAGACAAAGACAGAAAAGACTCCAAAGAAATCTCTACTTATCATCATCATCCATATCCACAAGAACAAAGTTATTCCCAATCCCATCCTGCTACTGCATCTGCATTTTCAGATTACAGTATGCCCCAGTATTCCCAGTACACTGCCTACGACAGTGGCACTTACAGTGCTGCTCCAAATTCTTACTCAACATATACTCAGGGTGCCATTCCTCCCTCTCTTGATTCCAGTGAGTATCCTTATCCACAGAACACCGACTTTCAGTTTCCTGGCTCTATAGTGGCATCTCACATGGTTTACCCTCATCATGATTCCTTTGAGGACATGAACTTACTTGTGAATCCAGACCTGTCTAAGAGTGAGGGCCAGATCGGATCAGCTGGCCATCGCTGCCTGCGGGTCATCAGCACAAAGCCGTCAACCAATAAGCGCTGTCTAAAGCAAGTCTCAGAAGGTCGCAAACAGAAGGCGGCATACATAAGGAAATGTCGTGCATGGTTTTGTAAGTTAAGAGAGAGAAAGACTCAACTAAGAAAGCAAACAAGACAAGCAAAACAGAATAAAGACTCTGTGGGGGAAGTAAAGGCTTCACAGGGTGATGAGCATCACTCAGAGGCCAGGCAGTCAGAAGATGAAGAAAGACAGCCAACAGAGGAGGAAATAAAGGTGAACCTGAGGAAAAAGGTTAGTGGAGGTTTGGTTATTTTCTGCTTAATCCGTTTAATTTAGGAGGTGTAGTTACACCTCAATTTATTAGTTTTTCTCAAATTATATTTACGACTTGGTTGAAACCTTAAATTTTGATTAAATGTAAATCAAAATATCTCTCTCCCCAAAGACAAAAAATTACAATCACAAAAAGTAAAAACATCATTTATTATAAAGAGCATACACCACTTTTTCACTTGGAAAAAGCTTATTAAATCACTCTAGTTTTGTTGCAAGTAGTTTCATTGTCTTGTTTTTGTGTTTTGTAGATACATTTTTAATGAACATTAGCTGTAAATACTGAGTTCTCTGACAAACACATTGTATTTCGACTACTTCATAATAAAAGTCAACTCCTGTTTCACCAGTTCAATGATTCTAGGAGGAGATGTTCGGTTTGCAGTAGAAGCAACTTAATTTTTGGCGGGAATGTTGCCACAGACACTCAGTTCTTAATACTGCAAATACATAGATATTGCAATTCTTTCATCTTTTAAAATCAAAATCATTGATATTTTCACTTGAACATTTTCAGACTGGAGAACATTTTTTGCTGTTTTCTAATAAAGTAATGCACCTGATTTGTTCATGAAATAATTACAAATCAAGCTGTTATTGTTTTGAGGCATAAAGAAAATGTCATTAACCTATTATTGAAAAAACAGATTTAGAGGATTGGACACTGAACATGGACACTATGTTTTTATCTAGCACTTAACAGCAATAAGACTATTTTAAGCATGCTAGCTGCATGGCTCTATGTATGGCAATGTCAGTCTGTCAGTTGGTCAACCACTTTGGTCCAAACTGAAATATCTGACGATCCTGTTGACTTTGGTGATCCTCATACTTTGGTTTCAAATAACTGCCAAACTACTTCCATTCCCATCAGCCTCAGCTGCGCTTTATACAGAATGTGCAGCATGTTAGCATTTAGCTCAAAGTACAGTTTCTCTGTGCTGCTATCATTGCTGTACACTTAGTCTCATTCCAATATCAATATACACTAAGTGAACACTTGATTAGGGGCACCTGGATAATTTAATAAGAACTGAACATTATAGGCATCATTAAGGAAGACTTAATGGCATAACACTATTGAATTGCATTAGACTGTACAGGCGTATCTTATAAAGTGGACACTGAGTGCACAGTATATATCATGATAGTGCAGATGTGTGCAAATACACATAAAATAATCAAATTGATGTTCAGTGCATTACACTATGTTCTAATATCCCCAGAATCATAAGTTTGGAAACAAGAATTTTGTAAAACAATAATATGATCATAATCACCTTTCAATTCCAGTCAAAGTCTGTGAGTGATGATATTGAATCATTGACCAGTGCTTTCTAGTTACGGTTTCTTTAATGCCAACATAAGCATAAATCACTCCATTCCAGATTTTCTTTTTCTTTTCTAGCTTGAAGCATTTAACCAGAAGGTGAAGCAACAAGTGACACAGCCAGTCACCTCCCTAACCTCTCAGACTGGTTAGAGTAAGTAAAGTGTGAGAATAATGTTGGATAACTGGAAACTGATAAATGTTACTAGCATGTATTATGTACAGTATAGTTACACTATACTCCACTTGAGGGGAAAAAACAACAAAGGCATCCGAGTATCTTCTTCTCCCTCACTGAAATCCTTTTGTAATAGAGAATTAAATCTCCATAACACTGAAATTAAAATGGACATTTCTTTGTAACATTCAATAACTGCCATTTGTTCTCGTGTTTAATAGTTTCTTCTTCTTTTTCTGTAGATCTGTGGAGCGTCATGAATGTCGTAAATCTGAATCTGCTGTGAGCCCCGACAGACCATGTGGACCTCATGTTTAACACTCATTATTTACACATGCAGCTCATAGTGTGTAACAGGAACATTTTTAGTTAAGTCACATTTCCAGATCTGTGCTGAATCCTTTTTGAACAAGTAAATGTTATCTTCTTCAAGAAAATATTTTTGTGCAATTAATTACCGGTTGGTGAGAAATGTTTTACTCATTTCAGCTCTGTGAAAATTACTACTTTGTAAGTATGTTTCTATTCAGCCTTAAATTTGATTAAGCATATTCTATTTTGTAGGGTCTGTTGTAATTCGTTGATGATATAACAGTATGTATATATTTTTTTTTGTCATAAAACATTGAGCCTGTAAAATGTATTCAGCCTCTAAATGCCTGTTCCCACACGTGTATGCTGCTGACACAACACTGTTTTTAACTTAATCTTTTTTTTTTGTTGATAATTTGAATTTAATTTTTGTCATTTATCAGTGTTGATTTTGAATAATCCCAATGACTTTTGTTGATCCCTTTACACCAGCAAGTCTGAATTTTCACATACTATGTTACACATACTAAAATGCTAAACATCAAACCTGCAGTAACTGTATTTTTTGGGGGTTTTTTGTTATGTTTTCGGGTTGTCCGTCAGTCTGCCTGTCCCATTCTCGTGAATGCAATGTCTCAGTAATGCCTTGAGGAAATTTCTTCAAGTTTGACACAAACATTCACTTGGACTCAAGGATGAACTGATTAGATTTTGGTGGTCAAAGGTCAAAGGTCAAAGGTCACTGTGACTTCACAAAACATGTTTTTGGCCATAACTAACACTAATTATGAAACGATTTAACAAAAATGTCTAATAGGATAAAATGAAGTGATGATATTTTATAAACAAATGACCAAAGGTCAACGTCACTGTGACATCACAATGTTCTGCAAAAACTCTCCTGGCCATTATTCAACAGTGTAGCTCAGGAAGATGAGGTTGTGACCATATTTCCTGCAACTTGACCGGTTGCTATACGCATCTAGAAGCCAGATAAACAGGGTCGTTCATTTGGAGGGTTAGGGTTAGAGCTTAGGCTTAGGATAGCTGAGACTAGCTTACTGATGCCAAGTAAACCACAGCCTGAGAAACCTGAGCTGTTGTAAATTGGACAGTGTGCAGTAGATAAATCCCTTATAAATCTTTGTGAGTCGACATTCTGTTTTTCACTCATGCTTTGATCTGGACAAATACAAAAATCCTTCCCTTTTAAAATTATTTGGATGCTTCATAGTCCGCTGTTTTTATTTTCTGATTCTTCTTATTATATTATTATAATTTCTGCAAATCAGTTAATCAGTTTAATTTTTTTTTTTTTTAAATTCCAAGGTCTTTCAAGGAATTTTCTCTGACGACCAATAACTGCTTATCAACTCAACTAACTAAACTCAAACTAAAATAGATGTTTCGCAGGTTTATCTCACCAATATTATGGACCTGGAAAAACAGGTTTATTTCCCAACATGAAGGGCTATTGAGATCAGTGGTAGCTCTGCCCCTGTTTACTGGTGCTCATAACAACATAGTTTTCATTGATTCCAATTTTGTTTTTTAGTGTAAATTATCATTATAATGTTTTAACTGGTTTAAATACCAAGTACCAAGATTGGCTAATGTAGTGTACTGATCTCAAGACTAATGATGCTCTTGTCTGTAGCATACCAGGAAATGAAACAATTACATTCACCTATGTGTCAATAACATTTATTAACATATGGTAGACTATCCATAGTATGACATGACTCAAGGAATGATGCACAATAGGCTTTCTTTACATTGTAAAGTGGAGTTAATGCCACAGGAATTTTTCCTTTTTACCAGAATCATGTCATGAGAAAACTACATAGGTACTGATACCAGCTCTACAGCCAGCATAGATGCACCACTGGAAACAAACATACAGACTTGTCTCGCAACTCACTTGCAAAGTAAAATAATGGCCTTGAACAAAACGACCTTCCAAATAAATTACTCAAGTAGTCCCACGTCGGTCTTAGCGCAGAGCACCGTCATCTGATCCGCTGCTCTAGTTGATACTATTTTATAAATAGGAGAGTGGTTTGCATTTTAATCTTATTTAAAGTTCATCTTTCTCCTCTCCTTGGCAGTAGCAGGCGGCCCTCTGGCTGTTCATGTAGGGTCTGCAGCCCAGAGTCCACACTGTGTTGAACAAGGTGTCTGCTACTGTTTCACAGGCTGAGGAGAGAGAGTGACAAAGAATCAGAGATGGATGTCGGTCAGCACATGGAGCAGTATGTAAAAATAAAGGTGAGGTTTAACATTATCATGTATCTCAGATGTACTCTGCTTAATACACTTTCAGCACTTCAGCAATTATCAGGAAACATTTTTTTAAATATAAAATTTACTTTTAGATGTTAGTATCTTTACAAAGGGGTTTTATGCATTGCATAAAGCCAGCATTTATACCATTTAAGAAGTGATAAGGACATAGTCTTTGATTAAATGGTAGCTGGCTAAAATCACATGACCTGCAATTAATTAGAATGTTTGATCATTTTTTTTCCAATCCCACCAAGTTGTTTTTTTTTTGTTTTTTTTAAAGAGTAGCAAATATGCAAGTAGTGCAGGAGTATCCCCAAATCACTTTTACTCTTTATTACAGCTATGAAATTATGATTAAAGGTGAATGTCAGTCAGAATGGTGCTGAAAAGTGGTAAAGGGCTCAGTAAATGTGCACAGAATAGAATAAAAGGTTAAAAGGCTACTGACTTTCAACTTTGGACACAAAGCCGAGGCTCTTCTTGAGGTCAGAGCAGATGCTGTGGAGGCACCAGCGGAACTTGGAGTCACAGCGGTACTTGTTGGAGCCGCAGGTGTCGTAACACATGTCCAGCTGATTGCAACACTTGGTCATGGCAGGGATGCCCATGTCCATCTGGCACAAACAACAAAGGTGATTAAGTGTGGAGGGGTTTTTTTTGCTGAAGGAAGGGTAATCTCATTGTGTTAGGAGAGCAGGGGACAGTTTTTATATTATCTTGAGGCCATAAAAGATCATTTTGATCCATGCAAAGACACAACAATCATGTCTCTGTACTGGGACTTCATTTTACACTTCACAATAAGTACTTAGTGGAGCTATAATAATATAGAGCTATAATAATATATAATATATCAATTTTGAGATACAGTTTGGATCCCAACAGTTCGTAGGGAACATAATCTCTCTGGGGACCACACCATTATTTCACCAGCCAACAACTGACTTCACTGTACACTGCATCATAACAGATTTATGCTGTAGTTAAACATAGAAGGGTTAAATATAGAATTAACAGCATAACTCAACTGGTTGTGCTAATGGGTGAAGCAAACAATATCAGCACCTTGTTTTCTTATTCAGTGTTAGTCCTATAATTCCTTCATATATTCCAGCAATTCCACTCAAAATGTGCAATGTGGCCTATTAAAAAATATAATGCCATTAACATGTGAAGGTTAGGGGTATTGGGAGGAGGTTGTTGTAATTTTTTCTAAATAAAGGGGAGGCTCCAAAAGAAAAAATAATAACTCTGGGGAGGGTCTTAGTTTCAGCCGCCTTCCCCACCCCAATCATTTTTGAACAGCCCCTTAGAAGATAGAAGAAGCATACCCCTTCTGGGATAGGGAGTCCAAAGAAGTAGGAGCTACATCCATTAGGTTCAGGCATCTGGAAACCAGCACGAGGAAGAGGAGCTTTGCCTGAGAGGGGAAACAAAGCAAAGTGTCAGATGTAGGTCATGTTTCACAACAGACCAGTGGAAATGTGCCGGATTCTGTTTCATAACCATGTGGGTTTAAAAGCAGATCCATGTTTGCACATGGAGAAACAGGGGTTCATATCCCCTGACATGATATTTGACACATTCCTTCGTCACCACATGAGACCTGTCCTATCATGCTGGGGTCACAGTCCATCTCCAGGCCCGCTCCCTCATGATAACAAAGATGATAAGTGGAAGAGTTTACTACATCAGCCTAATAAATCCTAGTAAGTTTCTTCAAGTTTGAGCGTATTGTAAAAAAAGTTTAAATCATTGTATTTAAATCCAAATGGGCAATTCCCAGACACTCAACACTGAAAAAGCTTTGACTGGACTGGACAAATTTGTTTTGTGCATGTATTTTGGGTTGGATGATGCTGATAACTGATATGTTCATTTTTTTGTTTTGTTTTTTGCAAGTATCCAATATTTATGTATAATATGGTAATTTTCAATCCAAAAAAGATAGCGTTAAGTATTTTGTGTTTCCCCCACTAATTTTATCATTGGAGGCAGTATCAACTGGACCCTCCCCTAAAAATGTCAAACTCTTTAAGTGAGTTACCAGCAATAGCAGATTTTTCCAAGACAAAATTGTAATGCATTTCTTTTAGATTAAAGAATAAATTCTAAAATATATTTTTTTTAATGAAGAAGAATCAAACAGATGTATCAGTGTTGGACCACAGTGACTGATAAAAGGTCAATATCAGTATCATTTAAACTGCCACTTATCTGTGTAACAGACTTACCATATCTACAGCGGTATTGGCACACTCCATCCCGTCCGCCCATGAACTCCAGCATCGAGTCAAAGTAGCTGCCGACAGCCTCAAAGCTGCCTCTGATAGAGTTCATTCCCCACTCTTCGTCCTCGTCCTCCGCCTGTGTGCCATCAGAGGCCTGGCCCTGTGGTGGTGGTGGTGGCGGTGCTTCTGTTGAATCCTCAGCCTCCTGACTGACAGCACTGTGGATGTACAGGCCCAGCAGGAGCAGTAGGGGAGCGAGAAGGGCCCAGCGGGTCATCCTGAAGCTCAGCACGAACAGAGTTACACCTCAGACACTGAGGGGGAACACAAACACAGAGGCAATACTGAAACTGTCTGCGTGACCTGAACTTTGAGCCAGTACAGGGACGGCCTCATATGTGGAGGAACAAAGTCCAGCTTCTATCTCGTCTTTTTAACATGTCTTTCATCATTCTCTCTGATTAATGTGCTTGTTCACAGTTCAGCCAAGGGGACTCAATTACATTTTAATCCCATTTAGTTTTAATATAATCTAATCAAAAAGTTGCTAAGTGATCATCTGTTTGTGGGGGGAGACATGTTGTCAGTTATTGTCAGGACAAAAAAGGCCCTTGTTGCCATTTAAAGAGTACAGAGTAGACCTGTATGAAATGTTACTCAGCAATTCAAGTGCAAATTGTTTCTCAGTATTAAATACAGACAAATTAATACATAATACCTCTCTACACCTCCTGCAAAAGCTAAATTTCAAGAAATAAATACACTGTTGGTTTTTGATAAATGCAGTGAGTATTATTGGGTATACATCACTGAACTGCACACAGGATTTTGATAGAGAACTGATCTGAATACTACCAACTTCTGTGTGTGTGTGTGTGTGTGTGTGTGTGTGTGTGTGTGTGCGTGTGTGTCTATGTCTATGTCTGTCTGTTGTTTCTCATAATAACAAAATTATGACCAAATCTAGATCATCTGCGATTAGCTAGTATGTATGCTTGTGTCAGTGTGAATTGATTGATTAATTGATTAATTTTTATCATACAAGTTTAGTGAGGTTAGGGAAAAGCACAGGTGTCACTAATAACATTAACAACGGCTCTGTTCTGTTCAAGTATCCCAGTAAGTCATAACACTGAGCCACAATACCAGGATCCTGAAACTGAAGCAGCAAATGAAATTCATTCATCATTCATTTTATGATAAGAGCCATGGTTTTACTGCTGGGACATGTCAGATTATCTTGAGTGAAGAAGGCCCATTAACAAACAATTGACAAATTATTAAATAGGAGCTGTAATTTAATTTTGAGAGAAAAAAATGATAATATCTCCCAGATAGAAAAATGAAACTTCTGGCCCAATACATGCCTGTGTCGTCGGCCCGAGTCTGGCCCATATACTTCCACATCTGGGCAGATTCAGCTGCTATCTTCTGGTACTGTCCCACAGTTGCAAGATTTTCTGTGTGTGCACCAGAATTGGTCCAGATGTGGAAGTAGCATCTGACAATCATGCTGTATACGTACCAGATTTGGGCCATCGAACCGAGCATATACTGGGCCAGAAGAAAACAAGCATGTGGCCCGAGTATGGGCCGGATTTATTTAGCTATCTGGGCTTGTGTGTTAAAAAAAAAAAAAAAAGGGGTAGCCAGTCCTTACCCAGAGCTACATCTCCGTGTTGTACTGTTCTAATGTAAAATTTGTTTCAGGGTATGTAGTCTGAGTTTAGGAAGAATAGGACTTAGTGTGGAGACAGTGAATAGCAGTTTTATCTATTCTTAATAAACTGTAATGTTCACCCAGCCTTTAAATATTATCAACGTCATCAAATATACCAGGCAATACAAAACTTTATCACCAGATGGCGCCAGGTGAATGAGTCCCCCCCCCCTCCTCTGTCCATATTTGGTAGATTCCAGGGAGGTGACGTTTGTCGCAAACACGGAAGTAGAGATAAACGATGGATGAAGTGATGTATGGAGCCATGTGAACACAGTGACTGCACCTGGACTCAAAGTGAAGTATGTTGAGCCTCGACAGGCTCACACATATAAACAGGCAGGGACAGGTGGTAACCGGAGAACACCGAGATTGTGCTTTCATTTTAAGTTTTATGTGCGCGAGGCAGTGTTGGTTAGCCCACCCCGAGCACCCCCCGTGTTGCGTAAAAAGTTAGTTTTTATATCTTAATATCCTAATATCATCAAATATCTACTGACGAGAAAAATAAAATGTCTTTCGCAAACCTGTTCACGAGACTGTCTGCTGTCGACGGGGATGTGACTAGTCCTGGTCCAACATCCGTTACACACAGGTATTTATCTGTTAGGTGATGTACAGCCATCAGCTCTGATGTGTGTGACGGAGCAGTTTTGTTTTAACGGCCTTCGTACTCATTTCTCATTCATTTTATTTCACAGGAACGAGAGTGTTGATGGTCAAAGAGGAAATGCCAGAAAGAGGAAAACACAGGGTGAGCAGACTGGCCCTGACAAGAAGGTGTGTTGAACTTGAACTATAATGAACTATGATGGTAAAGTTAGCATCTCATATTTAATCTGTGTGTAATCACACTTTACTAAGAGAAATGACAGAGTTAGCACAAGCACATCATAGGGACCTTACATCTTGGGAGCTGCTGTGGCACTCTACACATCATTTCCCTAAACACTTACTTTCTGACTTTTCCACTGTCAAGTGGCCGCAGACGTTTGGATCCCATATAAGTTGGATATATATATTGTGTCTGACAATAGTTATCTGAACTTTAATATTAAACTCTTTCCTATTTCTGTGTTATGTATTTAGGTGAGTCCTTATTATTAACATTCAGTAGTTGCTATAATGCTCATTCTGCATAATTTTAAATACAGTTACCACGGATTTATGTGATTCCCCTGGCTCATACTAATGCAGTCTAATACAACAGACCTGCAATAAGGCCTGGAGTCACGAAGGCCGTAATGTTCAGGTTCTTATTTATTAAACTGAGTGCTAGACAGCTGTGTAGGAAGATGAAATTATGCAAAAGAAAATGTAAAATTTGCATTTACTGTCAGTACTGTGTTGTGACATTGCAATCGTGGACCTTTTGCCAGGAATCCAGTTGACAATATGAAAGTCACCTCTTTAATCTAAAGTCAAATCAACACCACTGACAGTTTCAACATCAATGATTGAGAAATGCATCTTTAAAATGAGATAAACAATGTATCAGCAGCAGAAGTTCAAGTAGGGCAAAGGGCAAACTGTAAAGATTTTTGTAACCCTGAAGAAAAACAAATCATTCAGTTCAGTGTTTCAGAAGTCTACTAATGAAGACAAGGAGAGCTGAATCAATTAATACACAGGAAACATGAGGTAATTAGTCTAATATTACACATTATTTAGAGTTCTGTCATTGGTGTGAGTGTATTGGACAAAATATTAGAAATGCCTCTGGGACAAACTACAGCATCCAAAATGACCATGAAGTTTAATCAGTACCTCTCTAAAAGAATTCCAATAAAAATGGAACATTATAACTTATCTGCCGCACTGTTGTATTTAGTCTATCTAGGTCTACCTTCAAGTGTAATTTAAAATGAAATCATATGGGTTCTGTGCTGCTAGTCTGCACAACATAAGTTTGTATTTATGGACTTGTCAAACACGATAAACCTTAAAATACTGGCAGGCATCTATCTAACATTTTCTTGACATTTAATTTCTATTCATTTTCTTCCCACAGAAACGTTATCGAGGCCCGACAAAGTGGACATATAATACTACATCCTTTGAAGACGACAACCATGTGCAGAACACTGACAATAAACCTGCAGGTTTTGGCTTCACCAAAGAAATGATACATAACCATAGTGATAAAGCTGGCCACAATAACATGTATCACAGAGGTCAGAATTACAAAGCTAGAAATAACCATAATGTGAGCAAGCAACTGCAGAAGAAGAGGACAGAGGAGAACAAACATCAGCATCAACAGAAGGATAAATGGAGACATACCAATAGAGGTGGACGTCATCAAACTGGAGCCACTGCAAGGAAAGGTGGAGGAGACAGTCAGCGTAGAGATGGCAAGCAGGTAAGCCTGTCAGGATAGATATTAGCCATCATCAGCCAAGTATGAATGAAGGACGCTTGCGCGTTGCCCCGCCTACTGTTGTTTGCCTGTCAGCTGCACACTGAGAAAAATGTAATATTCCTGAAACTGGGTCAGATAATAAAAAGGCATGGATGTAAATTGCTTTTTAAGGAAACACAAGTCTCTTACACAAATTTGAATCCATTTTTGCATCAGAAACAGTATCTAGGAAAATCCAACAAAAATGAATTAAAAAATAGTATTTTTTCATAAATCTAATTGTCATGTTCGTCTTTCCTCTTAGGATGTTCAAGTGAAACGCCCAAGATTCATGACAGATGAGTTCAAGGACATGAATGCGCTGTTAGTGGATGGACGGTTACTTTGTCGACATTTCCTTTGGGGAAGGTGCATCAAGGCAGGTTACATCAAAATTGACAAGTTTAAGTTACTTGAAAGATTGAAAAAATGTCAGACTACCAGTTGTTCCTAACAATTTTTTTTTCATTCTCTTTCCTGTTTGCAGGGTGACGACTGCCAACTGGAGCACATTCAGGGTCACAATGATCTCATCAAAGAAGCTTGCAAATTCTACATCCAAGGATTCTGTATGAAAGGGGAGAGCTGTGCATACATGCACAATATCCTTCGATTTAACTGCAATAATTTTTTTTTAAAATAAGTTTCCTTTCAGTGATGAGTTATTGTTACAAACTGGAGGCTGTAGAATATCTGATATTACCTTTACTAAGCCGCACAGTCTTTTCCTTGCAAGTTCTTCCATAATAAAGGAAAGTGTTCTCAGGGAGCAGATTGCAAGTTTTCCCATGAGCCACTTAATGAGATCACGAACCGACTGTTGGATGAGGTGTGTATGTTTTAAAAAAAAAAAAAACGTGCCATGAAAATGTTTTATATTTATTGCTGTGTACTGAAAATGCAGGCATGTGGTTTACTTCTCACTGCAGGTGTTGAAACGGGAAAACGACCTCTATGAACTTAGAAAGAAAGCCGACCAGGAATCACAAGGAGAGCCAGCAAACACAGACGGGCCAGAAATCACAGAAGCAAATCAGACTCCTGATATAGTCATACAAGCAGTCAGGTATACACATAAAACTCACACCTGTCAATGTGATCCTGTTAAAGTATCAGTATAATTGTAGTTTATCTAATAATTAAACATCCATACGAGTTGTGATCACCTGATATTTTTACTTTTCATTTTTCAGACCCACCTTCTACAACAGTGGAGAACAAAATGCTGAGCAGGAGGCCTTGTTATGTCAGACTGAACAACCGTCTGATAACACGGACACAGCCGACCCACCGCAGGCATCACACAGCGCCCAACCTCACAGTCCCCCGTCAACTAACCTTAATCACAAGGAGCCAGTTTGTTATTCAGTCGAAGCAGTGCTTGGACCTCAGCTGTTCAAACCATTCCCTAGTTTCTATACAACTCCTGGAAGTGAAGAATCTGCGCCTCTTTCTGTTGCACACACTTCTTCTGATTGCACTGCAGACCAAAGTGAAGCCCCCTACTCTGTCAGTTTTTTTAAATCGGTAGGAAACTCTACCTTTGGCCAGATACCTGCCCCTCCTACTGTACATAACGTATCCTATACTTCAAAAACTGACAACAAAGAGCTCACCGATCCTCTGGTAAGAAGAAATGAAGCGAATAAATCCCAGGAAAAAATGTTTAACAGTTTGTCATCTTTTAAAGTGCACACTGATCGGGAGACTTGCCCTGATCTTACTCTGGCCTCCGAGGATCACGACAAACGAGGTGGGGAAATGCCAGCGTCCCAGAAACCTGCTCAAAGATCTTCCCATGAAGTCAAGTCGGCGTTGTTGGATTCTCCTGCGACAGAGGCAGAGAAGTCCGTGTCCTCCAAAAGAAAAGGAGATCTGAAAGGAGGCACACATCTGCCCGTGGACATTATTACACACTCAGTGAAGTGTAAAAGTGAACCCACGAAGGGCAAAAGCCTGACATTTACCCCCAAACATCCTACACAGCTGAAGCCACATCTCTCTGGTCTGACATCTAACTCACAGTCCTTGTTAAAGCTTCTTTGTCCCTCTTCAGGTTTCTCGGAGTTTAAAGGTAGAGCTGCTGCTCCTGCTGAATCAGTCACCAGCTCCGCTAAGACGAGTGGTTCTGGAAACTGTGTCAGTCATCGTTTAGCCGCAAGACAACCCACTGAGACCTATCAGCACTCCAAACAGACACAACCTGGCCTCAAACTTGACACACAACAACATTATTTCAGTCAAACCGCAATAGAGTGCAGCAGTAAAACGGCTCCTTGTGGTGATTTGTCAGATGAATGTAATAAAACCCAGAAAAGTCAGTATTATAGCCTTCACCCCATCACTGACAGCCTGAAGCCAACGCCAGATTTTATAAGTGCTTGTCCTCAAGGCTTTAATCAATCTTCCTGTCCTACTCTACAACCTGCACATTACAGAAGTAAAGATAAAGACGTTAAAACTGACAAGGCCTCAGCCTTCCACAGTCTTTTTGCTGCCCCTCTCAGTGCTGCTCCTCACCCATGCACACAGTCTCAACCGGATCATTCAAACCAGTCAGCTGATCATACATCGCATTTATCAAACTCTAAACAAAAAACTTCAACTTTAGAGACACCTCTCCCACCTCGAGTCAAAACCAACGTCAAACAAACTTCTCGCAGACCGACATCTCCTAAATTCTCCTCTCATCCCCAAAGTAAAAATGAAGACGATTTATCCGGGCCCGTAAATCAACCTGCTAAACAGCAGGTGAATCCCGTCCGTAGCCTCGTGTCCAACTCCCTCAGTGAGACGTCCTCCAGTCCGCCTCCTTGTGATGACAGTGCAGATCCATCTACAGCCCAGGTTCATCAGCAGCTGCCTGACGTCTCATCCCCCAAAGGTAAGAACACGCCACACATTGACACTGGAATACTCGTGTGAAAGGCAGATTTGTGCAGCTGAAATATGTGGTTAATGCCTTGTTCATTTTGTATGACCCGCACTGGCAGCCACTGCAAATTCAGTCCTGAAGACTCTCTTTCTGAGCCTGAGCCCGTACCAACAGGATGGAGAGCAACAGGACAGTGTTCAGACCAGTGCGTCTTCAGGTATGCAGCGTGTTTAACATTTCTGCTAAAGAAATGTATGTTCCTGTTCCTGTGTATAAAATGTTGTCACCCTGGTAGAACTGAGCAGAGGTCTGTGGTTGTAATTGTATTTCAGAAAGTGAAAAGAAGCATAAAGGCAGCACGGTGTGCGTCTTTGTTGAGCAACAGCAGAAGAGTAAAAAAAAGAAAAGACGAAAGAAGCAACTCAAGGTAGGTGTTTTAACTGTAAGAAGAACAGCGCAGCTTTTTGTAACCATGACACATCCATTGTTATGGCTCCACGCCGGCGACAGTCAGAGGCATATTATTTTCGGGTTGTCCGTCCGTCCGTCTTATTCTTGTGGACATGATATCTAAGTAATGCCTTGATCAAACTTCTTCAAATTTGGCGCAAACATTCACTGGGTCAAGGTCACGGTGACTTCATAAAACTATTTTTAGCCATAACTCAAGACTTCACGCAGCAATTATGACAAACTTTCACACAAATTATTTTATGTCTCTGGATAAACAGGGACGTAACCTGAAACTAGTGTGAGTGGCGGAGGCACGAGGCGGGAATTCTAGTTTTACTTTGTCACTTTCACTTTGTTTACTTTTATTTCTTAACAGCCTGTTATTATTGCTATTACTCTACCTCTACCCCATTTATTTTCATACATACATAGACAGTACTTGTGGGTAAGCTAATTTTTTTTTATTTTCATGGAATTATTGAAAGTTCAATAATACAGAATCTTGCCTCCTTGCCATGTTACACACATGCTTTTCATGCTGTTGGGGGATGATTCCCATTGGCCGCGTGAGACTCTAGGCTTTAAGGTCAGTTTTGTATTCTGCCCTTCTCTGGATACTGTGTGGTTGCTGATAACTTTATGCCTCTTTCTCCTGTTTTCTTGTTATTGTTTGTAATCTGCTCCCCGGACTCAATCTTCCCACCAACAGTCCACTGAGAAAACAGTTGCACACTCAACAGGGCGCCAGCCCTCCTTTCAGACCTCTCTGATCTCAGCGGAGGCCGCGGTTGGGTCAACCCTCAGCAGTCCGGCCACGACCGAACCTCAGGTGAGAAAGTCTGGCACACACAACCTGCCATTCAAACCAGCGGTGCAGCTGATGCAGCGCCACAACCGACAGAGGCTGAAGCACACTTTAGAGGAAGGAAAGCGGGAAAATGGGAACGTGGCAGTGACACCACTGAAGGACCTTTTTAAGAGTTTAGACACCTCGGTTTTCCACCTCGGACATTAACGTTGGAATTACTTGTGTTTTATCTCACTAACAATCTTGATGAAAAACATTAAATCCTTTTGCACCAGTGTTTAAACAGTTAAAATGAAAGTAGTTATTGTGTCAATCAAAGCTCGATGTGCTGAGCTTTATAACCTGTATGAGTTTATATTTTTATCAGGATGTTTTAGTGTGAAAATCAACTGTTTTCAGTTACTAAGATATCAACCCAATCATATCTTTTCCACAAGCTTTGCTTGAATCATATCAGTGAATCAAAGAATGGCGATGAGTGTTGGTACATACAGATTGGGTGACAGATTGAAGCAGAAACCAACATAAAGCATCTTGGAGAAATGAACACCATTCCTCCCAAAAGATATTCCCTCATGTGGATGTTTTGATGATGGTGGTGGAGAGCGCTGTGCAGTGTGTGGGTCCCAAATCTCCCATAGGTGTTCAGTTGGCTTGAGATCTGGTGACAGTGAAGCACAGTGGATGGGGGCGTTGTCATCCTGTTTCAGGTTTTTCCTTGAATTTGTCATCCATCTTTATATTGCCAGTTTTTTATGTACAATTACTTTTTTTGAAAATGAACGCAAAAGACCTAATAAGCTATCAACTGAGTGTATTATGGTTTTCTTTGTATTTGCCCTTTCTTTGTGGTCAGACAAGGGGCAAACATATTTAAATCTTGTATTAAATGTAAAACCTACAAGCTTCTTCAGACTGCAATTCTACAGTGGTGCTGCATACATAACCTTTATGTTGTATTTCTGAATTTTTACAGTTTTACTACAACTTTTATTTTTGTTTAGTGTATATAAACATGTAGGGTTATAAGAGAGAATTTCATCATTCATTCAAAATGTATTTGAAGATTTTCCCAGACATTACCTTTTGATTTTTAGCCCAGGCAGAACTGAAAAATCACAGAAACATATCAGACACCAACATTAACAACTCAAATGACTGGGGGCAAATCAGGATACATGCTGGTTTATTAAGCTGATTAAGAAGAGTCGTCACAACTTTACAAAGGGTTTTTTCTTTTGATGTCATATTTGTTTGCAAGGTACAGAAGCTACGTCTTGCAGAATGACAAATGAATACATTTCATCAATACTACACCACAAACTTTTGTATGCTGTGCATATAAACACAATTATGGCTTGTTTACCCAGAGTTCTTGTGCTGCAGTCAGATGTTCATACCTGAAGTCCATCTCAAGTTCATCAAGACAGGTGTCATTCTCTCAACATAACGTTTTAAAGGGAACCTGTGAAACACAGTAATCATTTTTTTTATTTTTTTTTGGGCTTTTTGTGTCTTTAATGGACAGGACAGTAGAGAGACAGGAAATAGGGAGGCAGAGAGAGGGGGAATGACACACAGGAAAGGGCAGACCGAAGCGGGAGTCGAATCAGGGGCCAGCTGCAGCGAGGACTGTAGCCTCTATATATGGGGCGCCTGCGTAACCCACTGCGCTACGCGACGCCCCCACAGTAATCATTTTTGTTCAGGTCGCACTAAAACAGAGAGCAAGTCAGAAAAAAATGCCACTGTAGACATAGAGAACAAACAAAATGAAACTTGGTAAATGGCTTCTTTTTTGCTCCATACAGCTCATGTTGAACTGAGAGAAACCACATAATTATCATCACACTTCCTATGCTTGTAGTGTGTGTAGTCCTGGTTGTTTTTCCATTTAAAAGCTGCTATATGTAAGTTTTCTCTGCTGCACAACAGGAGTGGGTGGTGGTGCTGTGGTTAATGGTCCACAAATGACAGGTTAGAATACGATCTCTGATCAGCGCTACTTCTTCATCTGCTGAACTGAGGGCAGCCTGGGCGCTACAGTGACTCGCAACTGCAGAGCACTATAGGCTGGGGCTAGCTGGTTTGAATGCTAACTTCAGTAAAAGAAAAGAAATGATAGAAATGGAAGAGTAAAGGGAGGAAGTCTGATGCTGAACTTGCAAAATTTCTTCTTGACTGGTAAGTAAACAGCTATAAATGTTAATGTTGGCTAAGTAGCGATAGCAAAAACCTATATATAGCATCTTTAAACGTGTGTGAAATATATTTGTGTTGGTGCCATTTGTTACTTAAATAAAGATGCAAATATAACTGCAGTCTTCTGTTGGACTTACTGTACATACCTCAACAACAGCCTGCCTGTTGCTGTCCACGTTGAGGACAGCACTCATGTTCTCACTGTCCACTTGGAAGAAGTTTAGTCTGATGCTGATGGGTGATAATGTGTCTTCCACATATTTCTGCAAGTAAGAAAAAGTGTTATCTGTATATTCTGGAAGACACGTTCTAACAGCACAAATAAATAGATTGTAACACTGACTTAATTATTGCTTTTGTTGACACATTTTATTTGATAGAATAGACTATGAAATTGAATTTCAGAACTTTGGCCCCATCATTAAGAATAATTAAAGAAACATGACTAAATGTGTCAAAATTAACTGTCACCTCTGGAAGTTTTGCCTGTAGTAGTGATATGAAGCCTTTTTTTTTTTTTGACCATTTTGTTTGTCACGCCTGCATTAGGATGCACATGCACACGCTTTGTGGGTGAGATGAGCCCTGTAAATTTTTCATACTATTCCACTCACCTATAGGTGGTGGTAATGAACCACAAGATATATGGAAAACATGGATGTAAACAATACAGGATTTGAAATGTTGAAAAAAAAAAAATCAGCTTTGCAAATATTTCATGAGGAAGAAATACATTCAGCACGTTCGTTTGATCTCAAGAATACACACATGGGCATGAAAGACTGGGTAACACGTTTTGTTCTAAAATGCTTGCCAATCTCCTGAATCATCATCCCTTTGATACATTCAGTGTCTCCGGTACCAGAGGCAGCAGGGTTCTTTTCCTTATGGCCTAATTGTGTTGCCTATAAACAAACAGGATGCGCGGCATTCCCAAAGAGCTCTCCTTTGGTTTCATCTGTTCATAGAACATCACGCTAGAAAGACTGCGGCTTATCTATGAACATTTTTGCAAACATTAGTTTTGCCTTTTTCTGCCTTTCAGTAATGGTGTCCCTCCTTGGCCTCCGCCCATGGAGCCCTACTTGGTTCAGTGTGCAGTGTATAGTACGGGCTGAAACCACCACTCCGGATTGCTCTAGGTCGGCCTGAAGCTCTTTAGATGACTTGCATGGTGTTTTTTCTACAATCTGCACCAACCTTTGTAGACTTCTCATTGAGTTTCTTCTTAGCGCCACATCCTGGAAGTATCTCAAAAAGTTTTACGACTGTGAAACAATCTAACTAACATTACAGCCTTAAGTGTTGAAGCAGGGATTTCAAGATCTTTGGTGACTGCCTTGTAGCCTTTGGAATTGTTATGTTTTTTGATAGGAGTATTTCTGATGCTCTCTGTCAGCTGTCTTGTCTTCACCATTGTGGACAATAAACTGGAAATAATCAGTCCCTTTTTATGCGGTAAAAATATCATCCACTGGTTAATTCAGGTAAAGTGAACACTGAAATTAAGCACAGGTGAGTCCTATTTGTTCACTTTGTTTTAGAAACTAATTTCCTCAAAACGATGCCAATAATTTTGTCCAGCATGTCTAGATTTTTGATTTCACTATATTAAACATACATTTAAAAACTGGACATTTTATTGAATATTCTGGTTATACAAATTGGTTCATTTGCATTTATTGCTGAAGATATTCTAAATTCTCTACTTAAAATTCAGGGGTGCCTATAATTTTGACCATGACTGTAGATACTTCACTTAAAATAAATATAATGAATATAGCCTGAAAAATTTCCATACGGGCATGTAGATGGAGTAGTTGAAGCAGGTCTCTTTCTCCCTCAGCTCACAGGTAGCAGCAAGATTCCTAGTTTTCTCATCAGTTGGACTGAAGAAAGCTTGATGTGTTTGTTTTGTTGCATCCACGTCGAGCGTATATGAGATATTCAGTCCTGAGTTCATCGGCCCTGCAAAGAGATATGGGATGTTAAGTTAGTCTTTTATATATATATATTTGGCCCCTCCCCTTAACTTAACACACTCCCGTATTGGCTCTGGTCCCTACCTGCTTTGCTCTTTGTCATTTCAACCATCTCAAAGCAGGCTGTTAGGGTAAACACGGGTAAATTTTCATCTGTGTTGCCTAGGCAGTCAATTTTCTCAATGCTTATCTCCTCAGGTTGACAAGACAGATGTGCAACGACATTGAAGACAGGCCTGGACCTAAAAGACATTGATTAGACAAAAGGATGACAATATACTAATGAAGAACGGATAAACAGGCTACCTAACACTAGCCCACACTTTTGGTTGTCTCATTCCGTTCTGGCAAAGCCATGTATGAATAAATTTGAGACAGATGCTGCTACATACTCTACTTACCTACATTCATATACAATATACTTGAGACATACCTTAAGACAATAACCGTGGCCTGTGATCCAATTACAATACGTGGGAGCCCGTCGTCTCCATGGTCGATGTCCTCAGCGATGGCCTGTCCAAAGAATCTCAGCCCAGGTTTAATTTTCTGTCCCATGATTCTCTGGAATAACAGAGAGTTGGCAGTTGAAACTGATTCGTGCACATATTTGAGGATACTCATTAAAGGGGTGGTGAAGACATATGGCGTACATTTACAGTGATTCTGGTGGATGGTCGTGTGTTTGAATGTAAAAACCAGTATTATTAAAACAAAATCTGACCTGTAGCTAATATTTAGTACTAGTATTTAAAGTTCCTCTCCAGATATGTTTTAAACTATGTAAACATCTTCTTCTATGATTAATATTTTGTTTAAGATGGTGTTCAGGCAAAACTGCAGCTGGTAGCATCTGATCTTTCTTCCTCATTGAGAAATTCTGAATCAGGTTTTGAGCCCCGCCCACCACCACCTGCTCGCTCCAGGTAGATAGGTGAAAGAGCAGGGCGTATCAAGATGGTTAGAGGAGAGAGACTCAGCCACATGTTTGAGCCTCAGTCAGACCCAGACTCAGACGAGGAGTCTCTTGTAACCAAAATCAAAGACTACCAGACGTGTGAGAACTGTCAGCGTAGTATCTGTTAGAGATCTGAGATACTCAGCTATGGTGTTGACTGTTTATTTCGTTCATTATATGTCTTGTATTATATAAAAAAAACATGATATGATCTTCATTGGCAGGGGTCTTTAATATTTTTAGTTTGATCAGTTCCATGCTAAGCTTCAGATTTCCCCGACAGATTATACATGTCCTCTCCGCAGTCATAGCAACAGAGAATGGATTCCAAGGTTTATTTTAAAGCCAGTTTTAGCCTGATCTATTGGCAAATAAGAACATAGTGTATGTCTAATACTAGTGAAGATGATGCACTACTGATTGATATTCATCTTTTTTTCTTGCCTGCCGCATGGTGAACAGCCAGGAAGTCTGCTGTTATCTCATCTTTAGCATAAAATGATATAACATGTTTCATGTTTTTCTGCCTCACTTGGCTGAAAGTGCTGCGTATCCCTTTGTGTCCGTCTCCAAGGTAGATGTACACAGCCCCCCTGTTGTCGTCCTCAAGGGGGGCTCCGACAGCAACGTCCCGGAGTCCATCTCCATTCAGGTCTGCGAGGCTGGAGATTGTGGTACCAAATCTACCCATGGATGACACTGTTACATTCAGTTCGCTTCTCAGTTGCATCTGTGAGAAATGAGAACATAAGGTAATTGATTAAGAAAACAAAAGCATTCATTTTCTCTCAGTAACCTCATGAAAGCTTAAATAGCGTCACACTGAATCTGAGGCTTTATGGCAGCCCCCACCTCATCAGTCAGTGTGTAGACGTAGATCTGGCCTTCTCTGCTCTCCTGAGGCTGGTAAAACAGTGGAGCTCCCACCAGCAGGAAGTCAGTGTTACCGTCTGAGTCGATATCTACTGAGCACAGCTCTGCACCAAAGTATGAACCAATCTGAAAATGTGAAGACAAAGAGGATTTACATCATTAATTTGAAAAATAAAATAAATATACACTGTCCTACATATACAAAACATATTTTTTATATCCAAGAAAACAGTGATTTGTTATAATCCCACTGCACTGGTCATGACAAACAATATCTGCTCATCAAGATTTCTTACCTGTAGGTCTTCCTATGTCCTCCTCACTATTTGTGTTATCTCTAGAGCCGCTTGCCCAGAATCATGAACCAATCAACATCCACAACATCACTTCATGTGGATGGCATTCTAATTTGTCTTGTTTTTTAAATCTCAACAAGCTGATGCTCCTTTTAGAAAGACTATTTGGCAAATATTGAGGCACTTTAGGATACAAGGTTACCTGGCATAAATCAGCCTTACTACAGCTAGTGGTGTGGCCACACCTCAACAGTATCCCAACAGATTTTACGGAATAATCTGTCAAATGTCAAGTGGTATTACTGGTGTCCCAGTGCAAACATGGCTGAATCCAGTGTCTAGAGGTGCTTGGCTTAAAAAAAAGAAGAGAACACAGTGTATCCATGGGGCGAACTGGTAGCTGGATGGTTAAGGTGACTACCATCAAACCACAACATCCATGGTGTGACTTCCATGGTGTTGCATGTCATACTTTTCTGTCTCCCCGCATTTCCTGTTTCACTCACTCTGACTCATCACTATATATATAAATTCTTAAAAAGGAAAACTGTGGCTTGGGGCATTCTAGTGAAAACAGGAAATTTGGTTCACCAGTACATCATCTCCTTTCCATATGGTATAAGATCCAAACCTTTACAAAAGTTGACTAAATCAATTCCAAACACTCCTGATTAAAATAACAATTACTTTAAAATACACAATGACCCTCAAAATTTCCCACAATGAAGCCAAAATGGTGCACGCTGCTTTTCAGACATTGTGGGCCAGCAGGACTGCTGTGTACCAGTACTTGTTCTGTTTTACTTTGTTCATTTTTTTTTTTGTGCTATGACTATAGAGTCAAACACAAGAAATTCACACATGTAAAGTTAGGGTAGATGTTCTTTGCATTTCAAACAGTCTCATTCAAGTACAAGAAATCATTTGTTAACAATATGCATGATAAAGCAGATAGAAAACAAAACAGTGACCAACCTGTTCTCCATTTAGTCTTTGGGCTGCGGTCCAGTACTTGCAATCATGTCTGAAAAATATGACCTGACCTCTTTGCTCAAATCTTGGTGCACCCGTGAAGTATAGAGGAGCATCATTCTTCCGTCCAACAGATACTGAGTATCCTGCAACAGTGACAGTCACATATGATGTAATCTGTTAAATGTTCACTCACATCAAAGTGGTTACACTGCAGTGATGGAAGCGTTTAATTTAAGTACAAATATAAAAATACAAAGTGCAATTTCTGAAGAAATTGTGGTGTAATGTGTCTTGTATGTAGTGTGGAAACAGTATGTAGCAGCAGTGTGACACAGATGCCTGTGTAAACAGCCCAGAGACCAGAGTAAGTGGTAATGACTAAATGTCCATCAGCTGTGTATAGCTAGCTTCTGTTCATGTTGCCATGGTGATGGTACCAGCTTCTGTCCCCCTCAGTGAGACTCACATTTTTAGTGAGATTTGGCTTGGCACACCACTTGAACTCCTGCTGTCACCTGGATGAAAGTTTTCACGCTGTGAGCACTGCTGGACTTATTTTGTGTTTCTGGTGTCAAAATTGTGGAAAATAGAGTGAGTTGAAAAAAAAAGGATAATTTCTGTTTCTCTTCAAAGGTCAGATTCTTAATTTGTGTTGCAGTCTATGGGGCAGTTGGATGGTACTTCTGTCACTTAGAGGCTCATGAAGCAAAATGTGTAGAAAGTTACATCATGTGAAAGAAAACAGATTTGCCTATGCTCATGGCAAAAAGTGATAAGTGAAATTTGTGACCATGAGGACGAGTTAAACAGACACTTTCAGTACAGTTTAATACCTTCTCCCACTCTGTGTGATGTCACCCACTCTAGCCTCCAAACAAATTTTTCTATGGGAGACATTGCTGACAAAATTTACTGTGAAAAGTATTTCCAGTTATCTCCTGTTATCTCCTGTCCTGCTGTAGATTTGAATGTTTTCCACGATGAACGCAGTGGGACTAGTTAGGTGCTGAAAACCTTTTATTTTTTTTATTTTTTTTTACATGATTTACACTGGAAACTGATAGAGGTAATTTATTTATGCAACACCAAGCCAAATTAAAAAAATCCTTTACCCATGTAGGAGTCATTCTGCATGTGTGGATCTTCAATTTGTGTTTCTTCTTGTTGACGGAGCTTTTGGAGAGAGCCCCGCCAGCTGTTTGATCCCATTGAACTCAGGATCAGTGTATCCTGTTAACAGAAATATGCAAGTCTGGTTGGAGCAGAGACAAACTTATTGGGAATTGGCGCTATACAAATAAAATTTGGCCTGACTTGAAAAGAGTGGTGCTTCCAACAGTAATTATGTTGGGAATAATCAGGTCAACTGCCCAGTCTGACTTGCTGCAGTTAGACTACTTTAATTAAGGCTGGTTGGTCGAGTGAAGCAGCAGAGAGGAAATCACTGAACAGACATCCGAAAATCAGTGGTCAAATAATGAATAACCATGTCAACCATGCTAAAGTGCTAAATATTACATGCATTAGCATGTTAACCCTTTATTGGTTTTTATTTTGTTGTTTGAGGAATAAAAATAAATGTTTTCCTCTGTCGTTATTTAAATGTTTTATGTACATATTGTCAAACATACTTTTTATCTGCACTTGTATGTATGTAATAGTTAGACAGCGCTGTGAGGATTTACTCTAGTCATTATGGGTTAAAGATGTAGATTTCGAATGTGTCCACATTTTTGACTTTACTCACATTATAGAAGACGGCACTGAATCCACTCTGAGACATTTCACCAGTTATGTCTCCTGCCCGAGCCGCACTGGAGCCTAAATATGAGACAAAACTAGTTCATGTTTTCTCAGGATTTTTGTAACAACATTATCAAACAAAGAGCAGAAAATAATTAAACATCACCTTCCATTTTAAAGATCCTTTTCTGAAAGTTTTCCAGTATTCCCTTGAGTCCGTTGTAGTTCTCAATCTTGAAGACATATTTTTCTGTCGGTTGTGAAGCAATGGCCTCAAAATTATCCAACCTAGCATATCTGACCTGAAACCAGAATGCTCCTTGAAATTATAAAGTACCTCCAAGTCTGATGTCAGAAAGACAAACAACACAGTTTTGCACAATATTCAACTCAAAACTGGAATAAATAAAAGTTGCACAATTGAAGGCTGAGTTTGGACATTTACAGACAAAATATTTAATTCTTCCCATGCTGGTAAAACCATGTCTGAACTATTGTTTTTTTCTGACTGTGTGTCATCCACATAGCAGTGAACACAACGGTTCCATGAACTGATCCCTGAGGTGTACCACATGTAACTGTTTTAACTAATAATGTAATCAACAAATTTTATTCATTAAGTAAAAAAGAGTCAATGAGATATATTAAATCACAGCTCACCGCAATGACAAAGCGAATGATGTTTTTATCATCATATCTTTTGATTATCCCGTTTCTGTCAACATCACTGGGATCTCCATCTGTGATTAGAACCAGAACCTTCTTTGCATCACGAGAGGCGCCTGACTGTGGGTTTTCCAAGATATCATCCCTGAAACAAATGTAAATGTAGCATTTGGGGTATTGCAGACAGATGAGTGTCGTTTTTGTTTTACTGAATCGGAGTCAGCAGTACATTTTTCTCTGGTATTTTCATGTTGTGTCAGCCTTTTGGAGGGAAATGCAAAAGCTGTGCATTGCAATGAAGCTGTGCTTTCCATTATTTTCTCAGTTATATTAGGTGATGCTACACAGAAAAATAATTGTATTATTAATTTGATTATTTTTTGGGGGAAAAAAGTTATTTTCAAAGCTGTTGATGTAAATTCCTTGAATATTAATCAATTAAGATTGTTTATAAAAAGTTACTTTATTTTGGAAGGATATATTGCAAAAACAAATGATGATATTTAGAAAACACTAAGAAAAATGGGAGAGGATTATTGAAGTAGAGGGCTGGTTGTGGGTGTGTCAAGAAAATTTAACTTGGCTTTTCTTTTGAAAATCTAATCATTTTTGAAATGTATTATGTAATGTAGAATTAGATTTATTTTGCCTTTATTTTGGTTTGGTTTCTTATTCAGTTATTCTTTAATATTTCATTTATTTCAAGCTTGATTGATTTTGTAATGTTGTTTGGTTTGCCTAGTGTGACTTAGTGCGTTAAATTTTATCTGTGTTTTGTCTTCTGGTTATTTATGTCATGTTTTTGTCCAATTATTTTTTTTTAAATGTAGCATTTGTAATCCTGAAAATAAACAAAACTCCAGCTATAAATATGAATAAATCAACAAATCAGTGTTACTGTGGTACTGTTCCAGTTCTTGTTATTGAGTGTTTTTTGCCTCAACAAGTTATTTTAAAGTTATTTGTTGAAAAATTTGTTCAAACCTTGGGGAACTGTATAAAGAATGAAAGTGAACTTACAACACAAATTTGAGGGCTCTGTGAGTGTTGGTGAGACTCTTCATGTGGGGCTCTTTCATAAGTTTATCAAGAGCTGTACCAGCTTGATAGTCATTGAAGTCAAAAACCTTCCTGTAATCTGAGGAGAACTGAACTGCTGCAAACTGGAAAAAAAAACAGATGACATAATACATTACTTATTTAACATTATATATAGATATAATTCAACAAATATGAATGCTTTCATGTTGCATAAGTGCAGTGACCTTGATCGATGTGTTCTTAAGGCTGTCCATTATATCCACTATGAAATCTTTATTTTTTGTGAATTCATCTTGGTCGATACTCCCTGATCCATCAAAGAGAAAGAGGAGGTCCACTGTCTGTTTTGTCCATTCTGAAAAAAAATATTTGGAGTGAAGATTTGAATAGAAACTTTGTCAGGACAAAAACATGAAAGAGGAACAAGATGTTATAACCACAGAGTTGGAAAATTGACTTTATACCTTGGAAATCAAGTGTGGAAGAGGAGACTTGCTGAAGACCATCTGTCATCTTGTAACACACACTATTTAGATAGGAGATGTCATGACATTCATGGACAGCACTGGAACTGCAAACCTTAGAACATAACAGAATATAACTTAAGCATGTTACCATGCTAACGCTTGCTAGCACTAAACACAAAGTACAGCTGACACTGATGGGAATATCATTCGTGTTGCAGGATCATAAACAAAAATGATGACTTGTTGATCTGTTGGTGGCAGTAGTTGAACAGTTAGGAGATCCCCAGTACAATTACAATACATCCCGAGGAGAGCATGAATATCTGTAACACATTTCATGGTGTAACCGGTAGGTTATGTCCTCCCCGCCACTGGGGGTTGCTGTGTAATCACTGCAGCATCCCAGCTTCTTCCAGTCCTACACCTGCAGCAAGTTCCCCAATTAGCAGCACATAAATACTGGTGGTAGCACTAACCATTCAGATCTTCTTGCTGCTGTTCCTGGTTTGGTGCCATTACACTTGTTGGAACCAACAAATGCTGTCTGTGTTCCCCCATGGTTGCCACATCATATGCATTGATTGGGTATTATACAGCCAAGGTAATGGTATTAATCAATTGTAAGTTTCTGTAAATGTACCGAAGACAAGATTAACCTGTGTTCTGTCTCTGCAGGTGATTGCCACTGCTGCTTTGTACCTGTTGAAACTCACTTGAATTTTTAATTTCTTTTATTGAGTTTTAAGTACTGGGTTTTCTTCAGTGATTTTAGTCTATTTATGTTTTTTGTATATCTGTAATTTGTTTATATTTTGGTCTAGTGGTGGGGCTTATTTTATATATCGTGATTGTTTTAAAATAATTTGATTCATACAGAAGTAGTTTAGCGCTAACCTTTAAAAGGTGGCCTTGTGATTTTTTATTTTCTTGTGTGCTTTTATATTTTATGGTGATTTGTTTGTTGTGTCGTAGTGTAACGCCGACCTAGTAGTGCGACCCCTTTTGTATGTTTCTGTTTTAGTCCAGCTCTCCACCTCCCTATTGATTTTTCTATAGTTCTCTTCTTAGTTCAGTTTTTAACTATTCTAAAATCACTGAAGCCTAGATATTGACCAATCTTCAGTTTGATGTTATTTGATTGTCACTGTATTGTATTAAGCATTGCATCGCTGAAGGAAATTAAATGTAAAAGAAAACTCTATCTCAAAACTACGTCTCTGTTAAATCTTTGTGAAACTTACTTGTGTGGTCAAAGTAGAGTTCAATAATACTGTGTATTCCCTGGGTGGAACTCCCAGGGTGGCGTTGTCGGGTTTGTGTTTAATTTAGCTCGAGTTTTAGCCAATTTCTATTTGATTCGTTCCTCGTTTAGACAGTTAGTTGGATCCAACCCAGAGAGATGTGAAGAATCCAGAAAGCTTGGCTTGACTCCTTCCCATCTTCAGAACAAAAGAAGCCCTCTCTTAATCCTTCTATTTTGAGTAAATTTTACACCATCTCTAAACTACCATTTTTATCCAAGAGTTTAGAAAAAAGTGTCTCCACACAATTGATTTCTTTTATGAACAATAATCAAACTTTAGAAAAAATTCAATCTGGTTTTCACTCTCTGCATAGCACTGAGACTGCTGTGCTGTTGGGAATAATCAGGTCAACTGCCCAGTCTGACTTGCTGCAGTTAGACTACTTTAAGGCTGGTTGAGTGAAGCAGCAGAAAGGAAATCACTGAACAGACATCCAAAAAGAAAAAAAAGATCAAATAATGAATAACCATGTCAACCATGCTAAAGTGCTAAATATTACATGCATTAGCATGTTAACCCTTTATTGGTTTTTATTTTGTTGTTTGAGGAATAAATCAATTTTTCCTCTGTTATACAAATGTTTTATGTACATATTGTCAAACATACTTTTTATCTGCACTTGTATGTATGTAATAGTTAGACAGCGCTGTGAGGATTTACTCTAATTATGGGTTAAAGATGTAGATTTCGAATGTGTCCAGATTTTGCATTTTTGACTTTACTCACATTATAGAAGACGGCACTGAATCCACTCTGAGACATTTCACCAGTTATGTCTCCTGCCCGAGCCGCACTGGAGCCTAAATATGAGACAAAACTAGTTCATGTTTTCTCAGGATTTTTGTAACAACATTATCAAACAAAGAGGGGAAAATAATTGAACATCACCTTCAAGTATTCCCTTGAGTCCGTTGTAGTTCTCGATCTTGAAGACATATTTTTCTGTCGGTTGTGAAGCAATGGCCTCAATTATATCCAACCTAGCATATCTGACCTGAAACCAAAATGCTCCTTGAAATTATAAAGTACCTCCAAGTCTGATGTCAGAAAGACAAACAACACAGTTTTGCACAATATTCAACTCAAAACTGGAATAAATAAAAGTTGCACAATTGAAGGCTGAGTTTGGACATTTACAGACAAAATATTTAATTCTTCCCATGCTGGTAAAACCATGTCTGAACTATTGTTTTTTTCTGACTGTGTGTCATCCACATAGCAGTGAACACAACAGTTCCATGAACTGATCCCTGAGGTGTACCACATGTAACTGTTTTAACTAATAATGTAATCAACAAATTTTATTCATTAAGTAAAAAAGAGTCAATGAGATATATTAAATCACAGCTCACCGCAATGACAAAGCGAATGATGTTTTTATCATCATATCTTTTGATTATCCCGTTTCTGTCAACATCACTGGGATCTCCATCTGTGATTAGAACCAGAACCTTCTTTGCATCACGAGAGGCGCCTGACTGTGGGTTTTCCAAGATATCATCCCTGAAACAAATGTAAATGTAGCATTTGGGGTATTGCAGACAGATGAGTGTCGTTTTTGTTTTACTGAATCGGAGTCAGCAGTACATTTTTCTCTGGTATTTTCATGTTGTGTCAGCCTTTTGGAGGGAAATGCAAAAGCTGTGCATTGCAATGAAGCTGTGCTTTCCATTATTTTCTCAGTTATATTAGGTGATGCTACACAGAAAAATAATTGTATTATTAATTTGATTATTTTTTGGGGGAAAAAAGTTATTTTCAAAGCTGTTGATGTAAATTCCTTGAATATTAATCAATTAAGATTGTTTATAAAAAGTTACTTTATTTTGGAAGGATATATTGCAAAAACAAATGATGATATTAAGAAAACACTAAGAAAAATGGGAGAGGATTATTGAAGTAGAGGGCTGGTTGTGGGTGTGTCAAGAAAATTTAACTTGGCTTTTCTTTTGAAAATCTAATCATTTTTGAAATGTATTATGTAATGTAGAATTAGATTTATTTTGCCTTTATTTTGGTTTGGTTTCTTATTCAGTTATTCTTTAATATTTCATTTATTTCAAGCTTGATTGATTTTGTAATGTTGTTTGGTTTGCCTAGTGTGACTTAGTGCGTTAAATTTTATCTGTGTTTTGTCTTCTGGTTATTTATGTCATGTTTTTGTCCAATTATTTTTTTTTAATGTAGCATTTGTAATCCTGAAAATAAACAAAACTCCAGCTATAAATATGAATAAATCAACAAATCAGTGTTACTGTGGTACTGTTCCAGTTCTTGTTATTGAGTGTTTTTTGCCTCAACAAGTTATTTTAAAGTTATTTGTTGAAAAATTTGTTCAAACCTTGGGGAACTGTATAAAGAATGAAAGTGAACTTACAACACAAATTTGAGGGCTCTGTGAGTGTTGGTGAGACTCTTCATGTGGGGCTCTTTCATAAGTTTATCAAGAGCTGTACCAGCTTGATAGTCATTGAAGTCAAAAACCTTCCTGTAATCTGAGGAGAACTGAACTGCTGCAAACTGGAAAAAAAAACAGATGACATAATACATTATTTATTTAACATTATATATAGATATAATTCAACAAATATGAATGCTTTCATGTTGCAGTAATGCAGTGACCTTGATTGATGAGTTCTTAAGGCTGTCCATTATATCCACTATGAAATCTTTATTTTTTGTGAATTCATCTTCAGTCATACTCCCTGATCCATCAAACAGAAAGAGGAGGTCCACTGTCTGTTTTGTCCATTCTGAAGGAATGTTGAGTGAGATTTGGTGTAGAAGTTTAGTCAGGACAAAGAAGCAAGTGTTAACCACAGAGTTGGAGAAGTTTACGGTCTCATAATTTACCTTGAGAAACAGAAGTGAAAGAGGAGTCTTGCTGAAGATGATCTGTCATCTTGTAACATACATTGTTCGGGTAGGAGTTCTCATTACATGCATGGGCTACATTTGGACTACAAACCTAGAACAGATCAGAACAGAGACCAAAGAAGTTTGATTCATGATCTTGATTTTTTTTTTTTCCGAATTTGGAAGAGAGAGAATGTATTTCCAATTAAATGCACTGTTTTGAGCTTTGCGATTTTCTTACAGTGAACTGGGAGAGTGTAGAGTCTTCAGCTATCGACAGTCTAAAGTGCTTGATGGGTATTGGTTGGTCTGTGAGAGGAATTTCTATGAAAATAGCATCTGATTAGTGCTATTCAAACAAACAAACAAACAAAAAATCATTCAGCTACAGTATCAAACATGGCTGAATCCAAATGTATGGATTTCCTTGCATATGCACAGTTTGGAACTAACAGGCCATGGCGTCCGCATTGCCAATTCAGATTATCAAACATTGGTCTTATTCATATAACTGTAACTACTACCTTTACAACAGCTAGGCTAATAGTAATAATAATCATAGTCATAATATTATGCGTGCCAAATAATCATGAATGTAAACACAATTTACATCCATCCAGCCATTGGCCGTGGGCATTTCCCAAACGTCACAGCGCATGTGACTGAAGTCTGCAAGCCCAGGTGGATGAACATTTGGATTTAGGCCATGTTTTCATTTATTTTATATGGACAGGTAACAAATTAGAGAATGTCCTGGAAAAATGCATGACAAATGCAAATACTTTGTTACAGGTTACAAGTGGTAGTTGAGTGGTTTGATGAAAATGGTATGAATCATATAATTTAGCATTGGCCTCGGTTTTCATAGCTCCAGTAGAGTTAAAGAAACAATCTGTAACAACTGTTCTGGAGGCTTGTGGTGACCCAACACCTTGTTAACACATCATCTGTATTTATACATTGTTGGAAACTTTGTTTTTAATGTTCTGATTAATTGTGTCATATTTATTTTTGAAGAACATATTTATGTACCTGGCATAATGAGGCACTGGTGAGTTTGGTTTAGATCAGTTTTGCATGTTTCTTCAGATCCATTTAGCTGCTGGGGTGCAGTGACAGGTGTCCTGAGGATTAGGTCAACAATTATGATAACAGTAATCTTCTAGGTCCCATTTATACCAGGGGCCAGATGTTTAAACAGCATGTATAGAGAAAACCCATTCATATGAGGCATGTAATGATCTGAGGCAGTGGATCCTATAAAAAGCCACAGCCATGCGTAATGACAGCTGCTCTGAGGCCTGCACTGATTTCTGGTTAGCAAGGTAACTTCAGGTTTAACCCTGGGTTTTCGCTATGGTAACTTATGCTGCACACCTAACCTGCTCTAGAGCAGGTTCAACTTCAGAAGATCAGATCAAAATCTGTCAACAGCCCAACTAGGAGTGTAAAAGCATCAACACTGTCAAGTTTCAAGAATATTTGTTCAATTAAAATGAAGCTATAATAGTTACTATAAGCATGATAAACTCTCCCTCTGTTTGTTAGAGGCTCTGTTTTAGTGGATACATGGAAAACCTCAAACAGCAAAACGATTCTACTGATGTATAAAAATATCTATTGCTCTTTATCATTTGACACTTAACTGTAACCTCTTTAGTCTATGTCAAGATCCTGTAGGAATGATGACTCTTTTCCACTGATCTGATCGTCTGATATTAACCTCCTCTGGAGCTGGCAAGGAGTGCAGCATAAGTCACCATGGCGATGTACCATGGTAAGAAGAGAAGAAGTGAACCACTGTCACAACCCTGAAAAGCCAAGTAATAAACATGAAGTTACCTCGCTAACCACAAATCCTGGTTCATGGTACAGGCCTCTGATATCCGCAAGTGATTCTGCCAGGATTGTGATATCAACATACAAATTAGATAGTCAGAACTCGTGGACAACAATTGTGATGAGCCCCAGGTAAAGAGAAGCCAACTGAAACAACAGTACTTACCCTTTGTTCTGGCCAAACATGAACTGACGCACTTTGTTTCTAAGGAAATCTGTTTGGTCCACAGTGGAGATGTGGGGGGTTGTTGTATCAATGTTGAAAGCCAAAGATACAGAGATGGCTGAAATTTGTGAAAATAAATGGTGTTTAAATTAATTTACTAACATTTCATCTGATAGAAAGTTTTGCCTAAAAACTGGCTAAACCTAAGCCCATTACCTAGTATAACATGTTTCTATCTCAAAACACCCCTCTTACACCTGGGAGGATATGGTGTCTTCATTAGTGCTGGTGTTGCAGGTACAGGATTGGCAAAAACTCCTGGATGATCATATGTACTTGAGTCATGCCTTATGTTCCAGCTCCACCACTTGTCATGATCACAGATGCCCAACTTTATCTGTTAGAAAGTGTGCCTCATACCCTTTGTGCCACTGGTCGGGTGAAAGGTACCCGGAGAGGTGGCAATATCCACTTGGAAAGGAAACAAGGAAAGCATAGCTTCACTTTTAGCTAAAGGTGCCATTGCTGAATGTTCTGAACGTTCAGTACATTTGTGAGTGTGGTTGTGTATGATGTTCAAGATATCAGTTCATTTAATAATGTCTATCAACCCACTCCAGTCATTCCCGATCTAGTCACACTAACATTTATAATACATACATAACCCTGTCTGTGAATGTTCTCATTCGTCCAGGTCATAGTTATCTCTCTCTCAAATTAAATCGAAGGCAACTGGACTTGTATTTGTCTGTGGAAGACGTTTCGCCTCTTATCCAAGCGGCTTCATCAGTTCTTATGTATTGGTCTCTCTAGTCCGCACTAGTCTGACCAAGAAAGTGGAGTAGGACCCAGGTATTTAACCTCTATCCCCCATCTACAACGTCGCCCTTTCATCGGTACCTAGGAGAGTCAACAACATAACCTCAGATGACTCTCAACGATCGTCATCCACCAGGGGCTCACCTGACCCTAACGACTGTCGTTCACACGGGATACCAACAGGGTCACCTGACCCTAACGACGGTCGTCCACATGAGACCACAACAATGGTCAGGTGAAACCAGTACTTTCACAGGTACTTTGGTGGACCCACCCACAAGAGGTTAAATACCTTGGTCCTACTCCACTTTCTTGGTCAGACTAGTGCGGACTAGAGAGACCAATACATAAGAACTGATGAAGCCGCTTGGATAAGAGGCGAAACGTCTTCCACAGACAAATACAAGTCCAGTTGCCTTCGATTTAATTTGAGAGAGAGATACATAACCCTGGTTTTACCAACGTCACTTATGGCAGACTGTTGCAAAATGCTGTGCATGCTGCAGCAACTAATATCACCACCATACACGTTTTTTGCCCCCTTATTAGGGTTTTACTTTGAGCTCTTTGTACCTTTCTGTTGGAGCACTCTGATTGGATGACCTCCTTCTTTGCTCACCTTCAAAACAAGCTTGGAAATAAAAACATGCTGTCCTTCCCCATTTACTGGCAGACAGGAATTATTAAGCCTGAAAAGTAGCATAGGAACTTTGGAATGTAAATAGTTGGTTAATGAATACATCCAAGTGATTCTGGATATTCAAAAAACTTAACAACAAACAGCAGATGGTGTCCTTGTCAGGCCTGGTTGGCTGCTGCTGTCCTTGGATCAGGGATTCTGCTGAGCTCACTTTTCCTGATATAACTGCTCATTTGACTCTTGTCCACCTTCTTCATTACCAGAATGTGCCGATTACCACATCTCATGTCAGTTTGTACTGTGCTGTCTTTAACCCTGCCACATTCCTGGCAAATTCATTTTTATCCAAATAAATTACACAATGATTGATGAGTGATAAGTGATGCGTGTTAAGAATGGCAGACTGAAAGACAAAAGATACAATACAAGATACAAAGGCTCAATCCCAATGTCCACCCTCACTGACTCACAGACTTGGAGGTGTGTTTCCAGTAACTTCATGAGGGCTTAGGACTGTCCCACTGTCAAACCATCGAGGTCATGAGGGCTCTCTAGCAGACATTTTTAGCCCTTTATGCAATTCTGCAGGCTTTGCCTGAACGAATTACCTAAAGTTCATAGCGTTGTGACATTAAACATGGGGTTGCCGTGGTTATCAATGGCCATAAAATGCAAGAAATAATAAGATAGAAGAAGAACAGTAAACAAACAAGCATGAAAGGAACGAGCCCTAATGTTATCATTAGAAGAGTAAAGACAGTATGTGACAGTATCAACACAGAGCTCACCGTCATTCAGAGCCTGAACTGTGGAGTTATTTGTCCTATGATGGTATGATGATGAATTCTAAATATCCAAAATGGATCAGATCAGATCCAACATTATTTCTTTTGTTTACAAACAGGAAGTGAAGGGAGTGAATAACAATATACGATGAAAAGTCCCAAACCCACGGTTGGATGCAAATGTTTGGCATCGTCAAGGTAACGTGATAGAAGTGCTGTCCCATCCCCAAACACTCACCAGGTGACGTCAATTAAGTCTGTGAGGGTTCAGGGTTCAGGGTTGAGGGGGGACATTGGGATTGGGCCAAAAACGTGCAAAAGATCTTGGATATTACTTGTAAAGATTACAGCCTTCAGCCATTATATTAATAAGAAGTTAAGAGGTATTTGACATGAAAAAAGTGTCATGAAAATATGCTGCTTAGAGAGACTTAGGCTAATGACCTCAGTATTCCAAAAACTCTGTTTGCAGCCTTGATTTTAGCATGTAACGTCCCATAAGGTCATAAACGTGATTTATCTTTCTGTTTGTGTACGGATTTAAATTTTGTACAGAGACATGTTAGCTGTGCTCTCTTTCCTCCAGTCTTTTCATTAAGTTACACCAGTGTTTCTCAAACTTTTTCAGACCAAGGACTACTTAACCACTGAAATAAAACTCACAGACCATCTAACTCCTCAAACATCCCCAAAACCAATAGGGCCTACTATTTTAGCAAGCTTTGCACAGAAGAATGTCACCTGGGACAGTTTTTTTTTTTTGGTAGATATAGATATAGGATAGTGAAAAGAGAAACGCAGGGAAAGAGTCGGGGAATGGCATATTTTAAAGTGTCTGGCCAACCTGGATTCAAATCAGGCGCCAATGTTGCAGGCACCATAACCACTTGGCTATCAAGTCACCTGGACTTGGAACAGAGTTTTAATTATGAACAGCCCCTGTGCCTCACACACTGTACAGTAACATGTGGTGATAATTATTTCTCATAAAAATGATTGCACACGGACGTCATCATACACTATGAGTCTCAGTTTTAATAGTAAAACTTAACAATTGCCTGTTGTGTCCGTTATGTCAGAGGTTACATTTGATTTTCTTTTAATTGACCCAGTCTTAATCAAGCTGATCATTTTTTATGTAAATCATAAAACATAAACTGTAAACTGGCGAAGTTATGAAACTGTAAAGCAGCAAATACAAATAATGTTTG